CTATGTATTTTGTAATTTTTCAAGAGGTGTATGGTATGAAAAGGTCTGTATCCTAGTGGGAAAGGAGTTTAACAGAACCTTGGTAAAGATTTTAAGGGATAGTCCTTTGTCTAAGTCCTTCTGAAGGGGAAATGGAAGAAGATGCTAATAGCAAACACTCAGAGGGTCAAGTTCTATGGATGGGGGCATTTTTACAATACCGCTGGAGACTTAAGGACAAATGTTTGTGTTCACAGGATCATGTTCTAATTGAGCTCACCCAAGCTGGATTGAAAGGCTCCACAGAAGGAAGCGAGAGCTATGAAGAAGACCCCTACTTGGTAGTTAACCCTAATTACTTGCTGGAAGATTGAGATACTGAAAGTAACTAACTGAGAGACTCTGGCCCCTGTGTCCTGGCCTGGAGTCCGGATGTAGCTCTACTAGCAAGAGAAATGTTTCTGGGAGCATGGCTTCAGGAAAATTTATCTTGAGGAATAAGAACCTAGTTGGTGTGCTGTATGTCACATTCCTGTAATACGCTTTTGTATTAACACAAGCTATGTTTCTTGTCTAAATGAAGTTGGAACCCAGTGTTTGGTCTCTGTAACCAAGACCTTGTTTTCACATATATAGGAAAAGGTGCAGTTCTTTTATGGTATGTGAATAACTTTTTATAATTGCCAACGACTGCTTTTCTTCATCAAAATAAAATAATGTGTCCTTCAGTTGTCTATTGGATTTATTTCCTCCCTTCTCTAATTACTGCACAGTTGACCCTTGAATAACATGGAGGTTAGGGGCACCAGATCCCCCAGTCAAAAATCTGTGTATTAATTTTGACTTCCCAAAAACTTAACTAATGGCCTACTGTTGACTGGAAGCCTTACTGATAATATAAAGAGTTGATTAACACATATCTTGTATGTTATATGTATTATATATTGTATTTTTTTTTACGATTTTATTTATTTATTTGGCAGAGATACAGCGAGAGGGAACACAAACGGGGAGTGGGAGAGGGAGAAGCGGGCTCCCCACTGAGCAGGGAGCCCAATGCGGGGATCGATCCCAGGACCCTGGGATCATGACCTGAGCTGAAGGCAGACGCTTAACAACAGCCACCCGGGCGCCCATATTGTATTCTTAAAGTAATACTTTTTCTTAATTTTTTCAGTATTTCCAGGCTGTAAGTCTTGTCTACAAGTTTTTTCAAATTGTTGCAAATCTCTAAAAAATTTTCCAATATATTTATTGGAAAAAATCCATGTATAAATGGACCCACACAGGGGCGCCTGGGTGGCTCAGTCGTTAAGCATCTGCCTTCGGCTCAGGTCATGATCCCAGGGTCCTGGGATCGAGTCCAGCATCGGGCTCCCTGCTCTGCAGGAAGCCTGCTTCTCCCTCTCCCACTCCCCCTGCTTGTGTTCCCTGTCTCGCTGTGTCTTGCTCTGTCAAATAAATAAATAAATAAAACCTTTAAAAAGAAAAATGGACCCACACAGTTCAAACTTAAATTGTTCGGGGTGGGGGGCAGCTGTACTCACAAACATGAGTCTTTCCCTTTTTATTTAGTGGGTAGGTGGGTGGAAGTGTATAGCATTATAAGCCTCTAAGATTAGGTTCCTGTGAGGAGTCCTTAGAATTAGTATGACGGATAAGGGGCTTTGGAGATTACTTTCCAAGGTTCAGTCCGGTTCCGTGTTTTATTTTTTCAGACAGTTTATAAAAATTAAACGTTTATTATACTTTTTTCATCATTAGTATGTTCATGATGTAGTAGTTCGCATTGTTGCACCTTTTAACAACAGATGGCATTTGGGGCCCTGCAGGACCAGTTAGGGAATGTTTATATGTTGTATGTGAGTTCACTCTCCAATGGCTTGAAAACAGGGTGAGGAGGACTTGGGATAGATAGAGAAATTGCACAGTTAGCAGATACAGATTATAAACTCCTCTGTCAAAGGTATGTTCCTAATTAATGAAGGTAGAAGCTGTTGGGAAGAGGAAACCAGGGTTTAAGATACCAAACTTCCTGTTGAGGCAATTAGGAGATGCTAGCATAAGGCACAAATAACAGGCAGGACATTCAGTAACAGGCTAGTGAAAACTCGGGACAGCAAGAAAGAGCCCCTCTCTGCACTGACTTCCCAGCATGATGAAATGAGATGGGGAGGTCCTGAAAGAAACAGCCTGACAAATTTGAACTTTAATTTGATCAAATATTTACCTAAAGGGAAATTTGAAGCATAGGAAAGATGAGTTTTTTGGTGAATACTCTTCCCAATTTTGCCATTAGAGTGGGGGCTTCCAGAGCAAGGTGAGGTCATTACTATAAATAAAGCCCCAGTTTTTGCATGTGTGAATAAGTGTGCTTATATTTCCACACACACTTCTGTACAAGTTACTTGTCAAGGAGGTTAAGTGGCTAATGGATGATGGAGCATGTATAAGATCCTTATGGAGAAATTAGACACGTGTTTAGTAGATGGATAGATGTAACATGTTTCTGAATGGGAAGACTTGAATGTTTTAATTGATCTACAATGTATTTCCAACAAAATCCCCACAGGTATCCATCAGTAAAGAAATGACTACATAAATTGTGGTACAACTGTACTGTAGGATATACAAACAAAAATAGAGTAAACCTACATGTTTGAAATGGAAATACCTCTAGGACACATGGAAAAAAATGCAAATATAGCCATAGGAGTACCTAAATATATAAAGCAAGTATTAACACACCTAAAGGGAGAAATAGGTAGCAATACAATAATACTGGGAGACTTCAGTACCCATTTTGATCAATGAATAGATAATCCAGACAAAATACTAATAAGGAAACATTGATTTAAATGACCTATTAGACCAGATGGACTTAACAGGCATATATAGGATAGTCCATCCAAAAGTAACAACACACGTTCTTCTTAAGCACACGGAACATTCTCCAGGGCAGATCATGTTATGCAACAAAATAAGTCAATAAATCGAAGAAGATTGAAATCATTAAGCATCTTTTCCGACCATAATCTAGTGTGAAACTAGAAATCAATTACAGAGGAAAATGGGGGCACCTGGGTGGCTCAGTCTGTTAAGCATCTGCCTTTGGCTCAGGTTGTGATCCCAGGGTCTTGGGATTGAGTCCCGTGTCGGGCTCCCTGCTCCACAAGGAATCTGCTGCTCCCTCTGCCCCTCCTCCCACTTGCTCTCAATATCTCTCTCTCTCTCAAGTAAAACCTTAAAAAAAAAAAAACAAAAACCTAGGAAATCAACAAGTATGTGGAGATTAAACATGCTACCAAACAACCAATTTCAAAGAAGAAATAAAAATACCTGAGACAAATGAAAATGGAAATACAACATAGAAAAATTTATGGAATGCAGCAAAAGCAGTTCAAAGAGGGAACTTTTTTTTTTTATTGATTTAAGTAATCTCTAAACCTAACATGGGGCTCAAATTCATGACCCCGTAATCAAAATAGTATGGTACTGGCCTAAAAACAGACACATAGGTGAACGGAACAAAATAGCCCAGAAATAAACCCACGCATATATGGTATAACATGAACAGCTAGCTATCCCCTCTAAGCAGAAAAATGAGAAATCAACAAGGAGATAATATTTTCATCTTTCAAAGTGTGAAAAATGTGATGTTTTATAACAGGTGTTAGCAAAGTAGAGATTTAGGCATCCTTCTAACGTTAGGTAGGATTTAAATTTGAAGAAGCCTGTTTTGGAAGACTATTTGGACTTCAATCAAAATTCTGATGTGTATAACATTGAGTCCAGAACTTAATTTCTAAGACTCTGTCTTAAAGAAATGGTCATACATCTAGACAAAGATGGATAGATATAGATACTCATTTGCAACACATTAAAATTAGGAATCAACCAGTGTTCTATATGCTAGAGATTCAATTAGGGTACATCCTTATGTGGAATGCTATGCATCTGTTAAAAATAAGTGGTTCTATATATTCTGATATAGACAGAGTTCCAGGAGCTGTTAAGTGGAAAAAAAGAAACCTGAGGAACAATACATAAGGCATAATCCCATATATGTTAAATTATATGTTTAAAATGTTATACATTTACATATGTTTGCATTTGTATATATTTAGTAATAGTTTTCATTGAGTTGCATTGTTCTAAACATGCTAAAGAATGATCTCATTTCATTCTCACAACTTATCTATTCACCATTGTTACCAATGAGGAAACAGAGGCATGGAGAAATTAAGTAACTTTCACCAGGTAAGATTTAAACCCAAGCATTTTGACTCCTGAATAATCATTAAACTACAGAAAGAAAGAAAACTGGAAGGAAGCACAGTGTTGAGAGTGCTTACCTGAGGAAGGCAAGGGGAGCTGGGGAAGAGGAATTTGCAGGTTTTTCATATATGTTTCTATATTTGAATCTTTTACACAATGTGTTCATCATTTACTTATATATATTTCTTTACATTTTGTAATTTTTAAAAAGATTTTCTGTATTTATTTTAGAGAGAGAGAGCAGGGGGAAGGGCGGAGGGAGAGGGAGAGAATCTCAAGCAGACTCCGTGATGTGTGCAGAGCCTGATGGAGGGCTCGATCCCAGGACCCCAAGATCATGACCTGAGCCAAAACCAAGAGTCCAACACTTAACCAACTGAGCCACCCAGGCGCCCCTACTTACATATTTTTCAGGGGGGAGAAAGACTTGACAAGGGACTCACCTTTGTTCTATTATGTAAACAAATTTTAAAATAATTCAAAATTCAGGGAAAAACGTGGACTACTTTTCCCCTTCATACATTTTCCAGGCTCATCTGCTTAAATTATGTGAGATGTTTGAGGTTTTTGTGTTGTCTCTATGGTCTTTAAATTTTTGATATTACGCTGGTAAGTCGTGCACTGATTTTATTGCCATAGATAACCCAGTTAAATATTAAGTGTTAATAACCCCTTAGCATTTTACAACCTAGCTATTGTTGTAAAAGTAAGGATTCCACATACTTCCTAACAGGTCCTTGAAAATGGAGCTGGCTTGGAATTCAGTGTTTATTGTCCTCCTAAGCTTTTCATGCTGGGGGTTAGATTGGGAATCTGATAGAAACTTCATTTCAGCTGCTGGTCCTCTCACCAATGACCTGACGTACAACCTGGGTGGTCCACCGGGAACCCAGGGTTCTAACTTTGTAGCAGAGGACAAAAGCGTTTATGTTTGTCAACAACCACTGCCTTCTTCCCTGCCGGAGTACTTCAGTCGTGTTCATGCCAGTGAGATCACCCATTATAAAGTATTTCTGCCATGGGCACAACTTCTCCCAGCAGGAAGTTCCGAGAACCCAGACAGCAAGACAGTGCAGTGCTACCGGCGATTCCTTGAGATCCTCAAGACGGCGAAGCTTCAGCCCCTGGTCGTTCTGCATCACCGGACCCTCCCTGCCAGCACCATCCGGAGAAGTGCAGTCTTTGCTGATCTCTTTGCAGACTATGCCACATTCGCCTTTCACTCCTTTGGGGACCTGGTTGAGATCTGGTTCACGTTTGGTGACTTGGAGGAGGTGATAAAAGAGCTTCCCCAACAGGAATCAAGATCTTCACATCTCCAGACCCTCACTGATGCCCACAGAAAAGCCTATGAGATTTACCATGAAAAATATGCTTCTCAAGGTAAGTGCACCCCACCCTGATGGCTGACCCACTGGCCGTCTTCGTCACCCACCTTCCCCTACCATCCTTACAGCAGGGCTTCGCATTTCTTCCCACTCCCCTTCAATAATCTTGTCATGTGTATGCATTAGTGAGAAAATAACATCGTACTGAAAACTTCCCAATGGAGAGGGGCACAGGTGGCTCATATTGCAGAGTGCCCAGCATTTCCTTTGAAAATCTCTTTTCAGCACTCCTTCCCCAATCTTGAGTCTGTGCCGCCACGGAGTATCTTTCTGCCCTTCCTTCTCCAGTCCTGCCTCCGACTCTCCAAGGCTTCAAGATTGCCCATCCTCCCTCAGTCTCCCCTTTCTCTCCTGCAAAGCAAGTTATGTATTCTAGCTGAAGTTTTCATTCCAGCAAAGAAGACAGAAGACAGATAAAATAGAGGTATACTGATAGGTAGTGAGAAGAGCGTAATTGCAATTGTCCATATTCCTGCTTCAAAGCTAATTTTGATTCAGGTTCTGATTCAGTAGGTTTGGGCAGTATGTATATTTGTATACATAGTATGTAACATATATGCCATACTTATATATCCTACTGTTTAAACTTAAGATATTTTATGAGTATATTCTCATTTTATTAAAAATTCATTGAAAGAGGGGCGCCTGGGTGGCTCAGTTGGTTAAGCGACTGCCTTCGGCTCAGGTCATGATCCTGGAGTCCCGGGATCGAGTCCCACATCAGGCTCCCTGCTCAGCAGGGAGTCTGCTTCTCCCTCTGACCCTCTTCCCTCTCATGCTCTCTATCTCTCATTCTCTCTCTCTCAAATAAATAAGTAAAATCTTTTAAAAAAAATTCATTGAAAGCATGTTTTTTTTTAAGATTTTACTTACTTATTTATTTATTTATTTATTTATTTATCAGAGAGAGAGAGAGAGCAAGCAGATGGGGAGAGGCAGAGGGAGAGGGAGAAGCAGGCTCTCCACTGAGAGAGCCTGATGTGGGACTCCATCCCAGGACCCCAGGATCATGACCTGAGCTGAAGGCAGACGCTTAACCGACTGAGCCACCCAGGTGTCCCGAGAGCATGATTTTCAATGGTCTTACAGATTCTCATCATATAAAGGGATCAGAGTTTTAAATATTTCTCTCATGAGGCGCCGGGGTAGCTCAGTTGGTTAAGCTCAGGTCATGATCCCTGAGTCCTGGGATCGAGCCCCGAGTCGGCCTCCCTGCTCATCAGGGAACCTGCTTCTCCCTCTCCTCTCTGCTTGTGCTCTCTCTGGCTATCTCTATCTCTTGCTCTCAAAGAAATAAATAAAATCCTTTAAAATATAAATAAAATAATATATATAAATGAGAGAAATATTTATTTATTTAAAGATTTTATTTATTTATTTATTTGAGAGAGAATGAGAGGGGGGAAGGTCAGAGGGAGAAGCAGACTCCTTGCTCATGGGGAAACCAGTGGCTCCATCCCAGGACTCCAGGATCATGACCTGAGCCAAAGGCAGAGGCTTAACCAAATGAGCCACCCAGATGCCCCATATATATTACTTTATACATAAGTTTATTTAATTTTCACCATTATGAATTACACTGCAATGAATGTTCCTATATATAAACCTTTGCCTACCTTCTGATGAATTCTTTCTGATTCTTGGAATTGAAATTACTAGGTCAAAAAAATGCATTCTTTAAGACTTTAAAGCATGTTGCTAAATTATCTTCCCGAAAAATTTTAATAGTGTATACCAACAGTTTTATTTGAGAGAGAGAGAAACACAGCATGAGAGGGGAGAGGGTTAGAGGGAGAAGCAGGCTCCCTGCTGAGCTGGGAGCCCATGTGGGGAGCCTGACGTGGGACTTGACATGGGACTTGACATGGGACTCGACATGGGACCCAATCCCAGGACTCTGGGATCATGACCTGAGCCCAAGGCAGTTGCCCAACCAACTGAGCCACCCAGGCGCCCCAGTGTATACCAACAGTTTTAAAACTGCTCTGACCCGACTCAGCCTGTCTTCAATGATGTAATCATTATTGGTAATTTGACAGCTGAAAACTCTCATCTCCTTATATGCTTCATTTGCATGTATTTGATTATAAAGAGATCAAACATTTTTTCTATGTTAAAAACGAAAGCAGGGCAAGGGAAGAAAGTGTGAGTGTGGACAGGGCCATTTCAGACAGGTGTGTGGGGAAGATTGTCCTCAGAAAGGACAGCAAGGGAGGGAGCTAGCAAATGGATTGGAGAAGAGGATTCCAGGTAGAGAGAAAAGCCCCTGCAGGGGGACAGCAACTAGCCCAGCAGTCACTTCAGTGAGCTGGGAGTAGAGGGTGGGAGATGAGGAGAGGTTGAATTTGAAACTGGATTCTTTGGAAACAAGAACGCTCCTTGGAGAGGGTGAGCAAGTAAATGTTTGTTGGCTATAATTCTACTGAAGAAGCACTGGGTAAATGAACTTTGAAAGAAGGCAAGACTGAACTTGGTTCATCTCAAACAAAGGAAAATCTATCTTGTTTTGAAGACAGACTCCATAGACTTATTTTGATTATAAAACTATATAAACATGTTTATTAAAATGTTTGCAGATTCCATTTTTAATCTTCATCAGGTTACTAAAGACTGTTTTTTAAGCTCATATTTTCCTTTTCTTCTGCTGCTCATTCCTCCCATCCTTCATTTTGTGTTTCATCAATATCATTAGATTTTCTACCCCAATATAATGCAGGACACAAAATAAATTCTTTTTCCAGTCTCCTTCCTATTCCCAAAGGTGGTTTTCTTCTTTCTCTCTCTTATTCTCCTCTCCCTTTTTAGTCCAATCCCATAGCCTTTTGTTCTTTTTAAAATATATCACCTAATATACACAAAAAAGTTGTATAAAATATATTGGTTAAAAGCAAAATACTATAAAAAATTACTGAACTGCTTTTTTTAAAAAAAGCAAAATACTATAATAAATACCCAGCGAGTGACTTCTCAATCCAACAATTAAAATAGAATACCACCTCAGATCAACTAGGATGGCTGTAATAAAAACAAAACATACAAAAACAAGTGTTGGCAATGACGTAGAGAATTTGGAACCCACACCACTGGTGGGAATGAATGATGGTGCAGCTGTTTTGGAAAACAGTCTGGCAGTTTGTCAAACAGATAAACTTTAGAGTTACCCTATGACTCAATGATTCATCTCTTAGGTGTATCTCCAAGAGCAATGAAAATAAATGGGAGAAAACTTATCACAAACATTCATAACAGCATTTTTCATAATAACTCAAAGTGGAAACAACCCTAATGTCCCTCAACTGATGGATAAACAACCTGTGGTGTATACATAAAATGGAATATTAATTACCCAAAAAGGAATGATACGTGCCACAAAACAGATGCACCTTGAAGACATTAAGCTAAGTGAAAGCAGCTCGTCAGAAAAGACCACAAATTATATGATTTCATTTATATTATATCTCCAGAATAGGCATAGAGACACTATAGTAGATTAGCAATGTCTAGGGCTAGAAGAGAGAACAGGAAGTGACTGCTAATGGATAAGAAATTTTGGTTTTGGTGATGAAACTGTTTTAGAATTAGTGGATATGATTGCATAGCTTCGTGACTATACTAAAAACCACTGAACTGTATACTTTAAAGATTTCATTTTTAAGTAGTCTCTGTACCCAACATGGGGCTCCACCTATCATCCTACTATCCCTGTTCCCCTCTCTCACCTCAGCCCTAAACAACCACTAATTAGCTTCCTGTCTCTATAGATTTCCCTGTTCTGAACATTTCATATGAATGGAATAATATAATATGTGGTCTTTTGTGACTACCTCTATTGGGATTTGTCGGATATTTCTCTCATGGATAGGCTGAGATTATGAGTTTTAGGAAAGAAGATTACAGAATAAAGTGCTATTTTCATCATATCATATCAAGGGCACATACTATCAACATGATTTATACTGTTGAAGTTGACCCTGATCACCTAATTGAGATTGTATTTGTCAGGTATCTCTAGGGTAAAGTTACTCTTTTTTCCTCCTTTCCAACCTGCACTCTTTGGAAAGAAGTCACCATACACAGCTTACACTTAATGATTGGGGAGTTATGCTCCCTCGTTTTTTGTTTTTTTTTTAAGTAAGCTCCATGCCTAATGTGGGGCTTAAATTCACAATTCTGAGATCAAGAGTTGGATGCTCTGGGTGCCTGGGTGGCTCAGATGGTTAAGCATCTGCCTTCGGCTCAGGTCATGATCTCAGGGTCCTGGGATTGAGCCCCACTTTGGGCTCCCAGCTCAGCGGGGAGTTTGCTTCTCCCTCTCCCTCTGCTTCCCCATTTCCCTCTGCCTCTCCTGCTTGTGCTCTCTCCCTCAAATGAATAAATAAAATCTTTTAAAAAAAGAGTTTAAAAAAAAGAGTTGGATGCTCTACTGACTAAGCCAGCCAGATGCCCCGAGTTATGCTCCCTCTAACAAGTAGTTTTTTAAAGTTATTTTCTAGGGGTACCTGGGCGGCTCAGTCAGTAAAGCATCTGCCTTCAGCTCAGGTCATGATCCCGGCATCCTGGGACCAAGCCCTGCATCAGGCTCCTTGCTCAGCGGGGAGTCTGCTTATCCCTCTCCCTCTGCCCCCGCTCATCTCTCTCTTTCTCTCTCTCTTCCAAATAAATAAAATCTTTTTTAAAACTAAAACCTAACCAAGGAGGCAAAAGACTTGTACAGTGAAACTTTAAAACATTGCTAAAAGAAGGTAAAGAAAACAAAAATAAATGGAAAGACATCCTTTGTTCATGGATTGGAAGACTTAATATTGTTGTGATTTCAGTACTACCCAAAGCAATCTACAGATTCAATAAAATCCCTATCAAAATCCTAGTGACAGTTTTTGCAAAAATAGAAAAATCCATCCTTAAATATGTATGGAATCTCAAAGGACCCCAAATAGCCAAAACAGTCTTGAAGAAGAACAAAGTAGGGACACCTGGTGGCTCAGTTGGTTAAGCAACTGCCTTCGGCTCAGGTCATGATTCTAGAGTCCCAGGATCGAGTCCCACATCGGGCTCCCTGCTCAGCAGGGAGTCTGCTTCTTCCTCTGACCCTCCCCCCTCTCATGCTCTCTCTCTCCCTCATTCTTTCTCTCAAATAAATAAATAAAATCTTTAAAAGAAAAGAAAAAGAACAAAGTTGGAAGACTCACATTTCCTGATTTAAAAACTTACTACAAAGCCACAATAATCAAAATAGTGTGGTACTAGTGTAAGGACAGACATATATACCAATGGACTAAAACAGCCCACAAATAAACCCTTGCCTATATGGTCAAATAATTTTCTACAAAAGTGCAAAGACTGAACTTTCAGTGGGGAGAAGAGAGTCTTTTCAACAAGTGTTCCTGGGAAAACTGAACATCCACATCAAAGGAACAAAGTTGGACCCTAACCTTGTACTACATACAAAAATCAACTCAATCATTAAGAATGCTCAACCATTATGGAAAGCAAATCAAAACCACAATGAGATATCCCTTCACATCCATAAGAATAGCTATTATTTGGGGCACCTGGGTGGCTCAGTCATTAAATGTCTGCCTTCGGCTCAGGTCATGATCCCAGAGTCCTGGGATCGAGCCCCGCATTGGGCTCCCTGCTCCACAGGAAGCCTGCTTCTCCCTCTCCCACTCCCCCTGCTTGTGTTCCCTCTCTCGCTGTGTCTCTCTCTGTCAAATAAATAAATAAAATCTTTAAAAAAAAAATAGCTATCATTTTAGAAAGCAGAAAATCACAGGTGTTGGTGAAGATATAGAGAAATTGTAATCTTTATGCATTCCTGACAGGAGTGTGAAATGATGTAGCCAGTATGGAAAAAGAGTATGGCAGTTCCTCAAGAAATTAAACATAAAATTACCATATCATCTAGCACTTGTGGGAACAGACACAAAAGAACTGAAAGCAGGGACTTAAACAGGTATTTATACACCTATCTTCATAGCAGTGTTATTTACATAGCTGAAAGTTTGAAATAACCCAAATGCCCATGGATGGATGAGTGGATAAACAAAATGTGCTATTTACATACAATGGAATATTATTCGATCTTCAAAAGAAATGAAATTCTGACACATACCATAACATGGATGAACCTTGAAGACATTATGCTAAGTGAAATAAGCCAGTAGCAGAAGGACAATTATTGTAGGATTCCACATACGCAAAGGACCTACAATAATCAAATTCACAGAGACAGGAAGTAGAATAGTGGTTACCAGGGACAAGGAAATGGGGAGTTACCTGTTCAATGAATATAGAGGTTTAGTTTGAGATGTTGGAAAAGTTTTGAAGATGGATGGTGGTGATGGTTGCACAACAAAGTGAATGTACTTAATGCCACTGAAATGTACACTTAAAAAATTTAATGGTGGGACACCTGGGTGGCTCAGTCGGTTGAGTTTCTGACTTGATTTCAGCTCAGGTTGTGATCTTGGGGTCGTGGGATCAAGCATTTTGTCGTGCTGCACACTCAGCACGGAGTCGGCTTGTCCCTACCCCTCTACTCCTCCCCATGCTTGAGCTGTCACTCTCTCTCTCAAATAAGTAAAACCTTAAAAAAAAAAAAAATTAATGGTAGGGGTGCCTGGGTGGCTCAGTCAGTCAAGCCTCCAACTCTTGATTTCGGCTCAGGTCATGATCTCAGGGTTGTGAGATCAAGCCCTACATTGGGCTCTGCACTCAGCAGGGAGTCTGCTTGAGATTCTCTCTCCCTCTCCCCTTCCCCGAAGCCCATCCTCTCTTTCTCTCTCTCAAAAGAATAAGTAAAAATAAAAATTTAATGGTAAATTTTAGGTTATATATATTTTACCAACATTTTTAAAAAATTATATTCTGGGGCACCTGGGTGGCTCAGTCATTAAGCATCTGTCTTCGGCTCAGGTCATGATCCCAGGGTCCTGGGATCGAGCCCCACGTCGGGCTCTCTACTCAGCAGGGAGTCTGCTTCTCCCTCTCACTTTCCCTCTGTTCTCTCTCTCTCAAATAAATAAAATCTTTAAAAAAAAAAGAAAGAAAAAATATGTCTTTCATTTATTTCATGGTTTGAGTAATCTGCCTTTTGCAGCATTTTAAGAAGTATAGTTTATGCTTGCACTGGGAAAAGTTTGGCAACCATGGTGGGGAAGTTTGATTATTTTGTGTAAGAATTTCTGGAACTTCAAGGATATTTGTTCACTCTAATTCTAAAAGCAGCTTGCAGAGTCGAATAGAAATGCTTTGTGAGTTCATTCTGCTTAGGGATTAACTGTACTCTTGTTTCATTTTATTAGTCTAGAGATGACATTAAATTGTACATCTTAAAATGTTAAGCACAAGCTGTATGTTCCATGTGTGCTGACGTGATGATGAACCAAAGTACGGAAATCTGTGAAAGGCGAAATGGAACCATCCGGCACAATCACTGAGTAACTAGATAATGGCGCTATCTTATCAGAACAAGGACTGAATGTCTCTAAGTGATATTCCTTACTCAGAAGATTTCAAAGTTCTATCATGCTTATCAAGATAAAGCCCCCTTGGGGGCACCTGGCTGGCTCAGTTTGAAGAGCGAGTGACTCTTGATCTTGGGGGTTCTGAGTTCAAGTCCCACATTGGGCATACAGATTACTAAAACAAAGCCAAACAAAGCCAAGCACTCTTCTAAAGGAATTTTTTTGTTTTTAAAGCCACCTAAAATCTTTCAGCTGGGGTAAAGTGATGTAAGTGATGTTTTTAAAGCCACCCCTTGTTATCCAAAATCTTTCAGCTGGGGTAAAGTGATGTAAGTGATTTTTTCAGAAATCCTCCCTCACCCTTTTTTAAAGGCTTTATTTTATTTGAGAGAGAGAGAGCACAAGCATGGGAGGGGGAGGGAGAAGCAATCTCCCAGCTGAGCAGGGAGCCCGATGTGGGACTCGATCCCAGGATCCTGGGACCATGACCTGAACAGAATGCAGTCACTTAACTGACTGAGCCACCCAGGTGCCCCCAGAAATCCCTTTTTAAAGTCGGTGAACATGGAACAGGAAATGAGTCCCCACGCAGCTTCTGTGGTCCCACCTCGTTCACCTGCAGCTGCTTCCTCTGGTTGGTTTTAGGTGGAAAGCTCTCTGTGGTCCTGCGAGCTGACGCCGATTCAGAGCTCCTGCTGGAACCGTCCGCATCTTTGCTTGCTAAGGTGATGACAGTTGCCCCAAGTAGTATTTGTAACATCTGAGGAAAGTTGTGATTTTAATTTTAGAGCACAAGAGAAGTTTTCATCTGTCAGCTTGACATTTTTGTAAGTGCCTCTTCTGAGTGCGGTCCATTCTCTAGATTCATGTTTACAAACAAAATCTCATTTGTTGCAGCCCCAGCTTTTGTCTATGCAAAAAAAGTCCAACACCTCTGTGTGCTCTGATTTTTTAGTCTGAGTCCAAAATAGCTTATTAGAGGAGAGGCCAGTTTGTAGCAAAACAGATGGAAGGAAGAATAAAGGGTTTTGTTTTGTTTTTTAAATCATGTGCTCCCTAGAGACCATCTTGGTTCCTGCCTCCACTAACCATAACTTTGTAACTACAATTTTAATAAGAAAAGTTTTAAAAGAAAATCTGAGAATTAAACAGCTTTGGCCTCTGTAAGCTTGGCTGCTGGGCAGTGTGGAAAGTCATCAGAAAAAATAGCTGATTTCTGTAGCTCTGTGGCATTCGACAGGGTGCTATATAGATAGCACAGTGCCGGACAACAGACACCGGTGTCTCCATGTCCATGGAGGCTCCGGGGCTCAGGGTCGGGTCCTCAGATCTACCGGCTCACGAACTTAAAATGCAGATGTGATAAGGTTCTGAATAACCAGCTCCGAGGCTGACTGGATGGCCAGAATGCCATCTAAATTAATTTACAAGGGGTAATAACCGCTATCGGTCATGAAACCAGAAGACCGAAGTGCTGATCAGAAAAGTGCTTGTTGAGCAATAGCCTTTGAACTGGTCTCTTTACCCCAGTCCACGCCATCCAGGGCTTCTGGATTTTCCAAGAGCATAGTTTTTACCAGTTCCCTACAGGGAACCTACACTCAGTGCTCTCTCTGAGATTTTAAAATGCATTGCATGGATGGTGGTGATGGTGGCTCAACGATGTGAATGAACCTAATGACACTGAACTTGCTAAATTTTATGTAATGTGTATTTTGCCACAGATTGCAAGAATTGGTGTCAATTCCTCAGGGCCTTCCGGAGTGTGGCTCACTTGGGCTCTCTTGCTCTCTCTCAGGTCTCCCCTCCTGTTTTTCCCAGTGTGTATGCTATGTTTTCTTCCTGTTCACTTGCATGGGCACTCATGTGAGTTTCCTATCCTAGCCTTGCTCAAATCTCTTCCAACAAAATTCTACCCATTTACAACATACATGTGCATATGCTCTCCATCAGGAGGCTTCATTTAATAATACTCCCTTGCTCAACCTGATGTGCTCTCTCTCCACTTGGAACACTTAGCCCTTTATTTAGACCAGCATTTCCCAAGCCTTGTGAATCAGAACCATCTGGAGAGCTAGTAAAGCACATAAGGGCCACGGCTTAATGTGGAGGGACCATCCTGGGTCTTCACAGGCTTCCCCAGTTCCCAGGTGAGTTTGAAGACCATTGGTGTGGACTTTGCTTATCACATTTCTAACTCTCTATGTTTTTTCATGTCATTGGCTCATTTGCTAACACTGTCTATTAATTGGTAAGCTTCATGGTTCTTACTCCTCTTTAAATGCGAATCCTCCTCTGCTGTGCTGAGCACAGTGGTTTTAAGGGTAGGAACTCAATGACTATATGTGTTGTACAGAATTAACAGACCAAAGTAAGAGCTGAGAGGGTGAGGGGAGAAGGGTTGGAGTGATACTCAGGAAAGTGGAGCAAGATGTGGACTATTTGGTAAACACTGATGACGACTTGATTAGGAAAGCCAGAGGGAACCACTGCCGAGTCAGTTATCGAAGGTCCACAGGGCCTTTGGTTGTCATCGGATGCTGTTATCCAGGGTCTTTGTCCTGAAAGAACAGATCATCTGTGGAGGAGAGATGACAGGGGATGATCCAGTCCTGATAAGGATAGAATGACTTCTGAGAAAGGCAGAGAGGGAATTCCACTGGTATCTTTATGGGTTTAGACTCTGTGAATCTGAAGTTCTTAGAATAGATGCTGGGCGGTATGTCCAGGACCGTGAGAGCTGTGTCCTCCAATAATACTATATGCCAAGCTAGGGTCCACTAGGGCAGACTTTAAACTGTGGCCTGACAGTAGCCAGTGACGATAGCCTACAATTAAAATGATCCCCAAAATCCCAGTAGGGTCTGGAGAGATCCCTGAGGGTCCTGTGGGTGTCTGAGGGCTCCACTCTTTCCATCCCGGCAAAATGGGAGGATTGCTGACCAGGGCAGCTCTGGCCTCTGATGACTCCTTTAGTGCTCACCTGTTTGGTGGGAACCCACAATTTCTGGCATACAGAACTTCATTCATTCACTCATTTAATCATATACATTGATCAAGCACTTACTGTGTGCCAAGCACTTGGCTGAGTCTGTGGTGATGTATTCCCAACAGCACATCCCACACACACATTGTCATTCTGTCCCAGCTTGTCCTCTGCCTGCTTTTCCCTTGGAAAATCTCACTTCAGAGTATCAGTTTAGGAATAGGAGGAGAAAGAAAAAAGGATATTTCCGAACAGTAGTCGGCCTTGAAATTGCTTACATTCTAACGACCCTATTTACTTATTTCTAGGGCACTGTCGATTTCCTCTCTCTTGATTTGTCTTACGAATGCCAAAGTGAAGCAAGTTTGCCACAGAAGCTGAGTAAATTGCAGGTAATTTTGAGCCACTTCCTATATTGATGATGAACGGAGAAGGTTCCCAACAGCATAGTAGACATTTAATGGCCTGGCTGATGGGTAAACTGAGCTTGCCCCCACAGTTGGCAGAGATAGAGTTAGTTGCACTGGGGGAGATCGCCCTTGAATGCATTGCTGGAGAACGTGGGTGGGGGGGGGTGGTCAGGCAGGCTTCCCTGGAAGGGATCAGGAGGGTTATCATGTTAAATATTTACGTGATCTCTTGTGTAGAAATCTACTGAGAATTGAAATTTCAGTGTTCTAAGATTTAAGAAGGCATTTCATGGACGGTGGTCATGGTTATACAACAGCGTGAATGGACTTAATGCCACTGAACTATACATGTGAAAATGGTTACGGTGGTAAATTGTATGTGTATTTCCCCACAACTGAAAAAAAAAAAGACATTTCACACCCAGGTCTGCTAAATCAGAGGCCGGCTCTGGGAACCTTCCTGTAACCTTAGGCCCTTTCTTCCTGTTCCCAGTATTGTTTTCCTCGAGGGTAATGATTGTGACTAGTTAGAGAAAGTATATTGGTTGCCTCCTACCCACCTGTTAGCTTTCTCCCCTGTGCTTGGTCACTGCCAAGCAACTTCCTTGAGGACGACAAACTCCAAATTCCCTGGAGTCCTGACTACTCCCCCCCCACCTCCTGACAGGGTAGAATGCATTGTACCTTCCGAGTCCTTTCAGCATTTCCATACTTACCCCCGAAGAGCTACCTTCTCACAGGCCTCTCTGGGGATGCCTGGTCACCAGCGTTCACCCATGACTTCCTCTTGCTCTTGCGGGGGTGGGCACAAAACCGCTCCCCTCTGCTTCCTGCCCTGTGTCCCTGGTTTGGAATCCCAGCGTCCTCACCACCAAGCCGGATGGCGTGTTAGAGGAATTATCTGTTGAAAGGCCAAGCTCCTCGGTGTCACACCCTCAGTGCTGCAGCTAGGTGGAATCTCCATTCGACCTGAGGCTGGAAGCTGGAAACAGACAAATTAGCGTCAGTCCCACCCCCGGGGTCTGTGGGTTTCCTGCTGCCCCTTGTAGGCACCGCTACTTTTATTATCTACAAGTAATAGGATCTCATAAAGCCAGCAGATGCAGTCGCAAGACGTTTGAGTAATAGCCGCTGTGATTTTCGTGCCTGCTCTGTGCCCAGCACCATGTGGGGCACTTTATCCCCACAATATTTCTCCCCCTCACAGCAGACCCCAACACGTAAGAAACATAACCAAGGTCAGACACTAGGTAGGGAGCAGAGCTGGGATTGGAAGCAGGCTTTCTTGTGACACCACACTGCCTCTCCAAAACAAAAATAATTCCAAGGTGTTGGGGACATTATAATGAGAGTGACGTTTTTGAAAATCACATATAATTTTAGTTGTTTTTGTAAAAAAATATATATATATAATTATTTTTTTTGTTTGTTTTTTTAGTAAATATCTTCTTACCTGAACCCAAATTGCCTTGACCCAGAGCCTGCCCTGGTGGGCTTGCTAGCCAGATTTCTGGTCCTTCAGCAGCACTTAAGTAGTGTCTTCAAGGCCTTCCGATGCCTGTGATAACTAAATCTGTCTCTTATCATCCTTAAGGAAGTCAACCAGAGCTTGTTGCTCAGTTAATGGGTTCAGACAACGCTGACATTTTAAAACTGTCTGGGTTATGCAGACGCAGCATGCTTCAGAGAGCCCATCAACAGAGCTTGGGCTTAATTTCTGCTTGAGGATGTGGTTTACCGGGTTTCCCTTTTTATATCAAAACATTTTCAAGAAGACCTGCTCCCACCAGTGCCTGGATACAGCTGTGAACCCTCAGTCAATAGCTGGCCAGCCAAACGGTAAAACCTTCCCTGGACAAACTTGGCAGCCATTGATTATGCCCTGCTGGGATTCTTTGTTCCTTTTATTTCCTTAGGTAGGAATTAGATTCCAGATGTTGCACTTGACAGCTCGGAGAACAGAGCTGGAAAGGAGATGGTCCCTCTCTGCGGTCGTCGGTTACGAGCCTATGGCATTCCCACACAGTTAGCACCCCCAGGAAAGGAAGAACAGCTGAGTTCTCCCCGGGGAACCCAAATCACATCACTCACAGCTTCCTTCCCAGCATACCTACCGTCCCTCCTCAGCCCAGCCTCCCTGCCTCCTCCTGGGGCTGCAGGGAAGATAAGCCAGGGCAGCGAGAAGCAGGTGCCCGCCCCTTTCCCGTTTCCCTCCACCCTCCCCAGAGCACTTGCCTGTCCCTCTCTGAGCCTCAGGGACTGTCAGCTGCTGCACCTCCCACCAGCGCACCAGTGTTTTAGGGCTGGAGGACATCCTCAGGCCCAGCACCTCAATAAAGAGCCACAGCACTTCTGAATTCTGCAGGAGGTCCATGAGCAGCCTCCCACATCGTCTTAGCAGGAAGGGCTCTGCTCACCCAGGGAATTCTCCACCCAGCAGAAGGCTCCTCCAGCTCTCCCATCCTATCATATCACAGGCTGCCCCCACTATGTATTGACCTTGCAGGAAAGAGAAAACCCTCTGAGTCCTTAAGAGTTGGGCTTTCCCACACTGACCCAGCACAGGGAAAGGACAAGGGCTGTGTGAGCTGCAACTCTACTGATTGTGGTCCTGGGCAACTTAGCTTCTCAAAGCTGAAGACACCTTATCTGTAAAGAAGGGACACTATTGCAGGTGACTCAGAAAATAATGTGCCTGCCTTCTTTGGCAGTGGTTGTATTGGTATCTCTCAGTGGCCTTTAGGCTCTCAGAGGAGGAAAAACTTGGTATGGGGAAAATGACCAAACCCAGCCTCCCCAAAAAAGGTAATTTAAGGTGAAGTCAAACGACAGGTCAACCTACAAATGTTTCCTTCCACAGTGACATGGGTTAGAAATGGGAGAAAAGTCACACCTGTTCCATTTGAACGAGGGCCACTCCTTTTAACTTTTTATCATGGGAAATGTCAAATATAGCCAAAGGTAGAAAGAAAGTATCATGACGCCATCCCCAACTTCAAAAGCTATTGACTCATGGCTGACCTTGTACCATCTACCCCCTACCTTTCCCTTCTCAAGCCAGACTGGGGTTTTTTTGTTGTTGCTCTTGTTGTTTTTAACTCACGACCCTGAGATCAAGACCTGAGCTGAGATCAAGAGTCGGTCACCTAACAGACTGAGCCACCCAGGCGCCCCTCAAGCCAGATTGTTTTGAAGCAAACCCCAGACATTCATAAATACTGTTATGGTGGCACCTGATTAAGCTTCTTGTAGTAACAAAGGCCCCTAACATGAGTGGATGGCCTTGTTCCTGGTCCCAACACTTAGTGCCTCATTCTAGGAGGAGGCTTATAAGTATGTGGAACCTGTCTCTTTGCTGGGGGTCAATGGGTTGGGTGGCTGATGTTACTGAAAAGTGTAGACTGTTTTCCCTCAGAGTCTAGAGTCTGCTCTCTTTATTAATTGACCTGGCTAGAGAACATTTCCCAAACCAGAGTGTTTGTAGCTTCTCTTCTTGAAGATCTGTCCCTGTTATCAAAACACTTACTCTAGGCAGCTTCCGTTCACTTGCTGGCTTTGATCTTTTTCAGACTATTGAGCCAAAAGTGAAAATTTTCATCTTCAGTCTGAGATTCCAGGACTGCCCTTCCACCAGGAAGAACTCAACCGGGCTGCTCTTTAGCCTTCTCGAGGGTGAGTGGACCATTGCTGGAGAGGTTTGTTTTTGTCCTTCCAAGTTTTTATTTCAATTCAAGTTAGTTAGCATACAGTGTAGTATTGGTTTCAGGAGTAGAATTTAGTGATTCATCACTTACATAGAACACCCTGTGCTCGTCACAAATGCCCTCCTGAATGCCCATCCCCCCACCCACCTCCCCCCAGCAACCTCTGTTTGTTCTCTATAGTTAAGTCTTATGGTTTGCCTCTCTCTCTGTTTTTATCTTATTTTTCCTTTCCTTTCCCCTATGTTCATCAGTTTTGTTTCTTAAATTCCACATATGAGTGAAATCATATGGTATTTGTCTTTCTCTGACTTATTTTTTTTTAATAATTTTTTTATTGTTATGTTAACCACCATACATTACATCATTAGTTTTTGATGCAGTGTTCCATGATTCATTGTTTGTGCATAACACCCAGTGCTCTTTCTCTGACTTATTTTGCTTAGCATAATACACTCTAGTTCCAGCCACGATGTTGAAAATGACAAGATTTCATTCTTTTTGATGGCTGAGTAATATTCCATTGCATATTTACACCACATCTTCTTTATGCATTCATCAGTTGATGGACATTTGGGCTCTGTCCATATTTTGGCTGTTGTTGATAGTGCTGTTATAAACATGGGGGGGCAGGTGCCCCTTCAAGTCACTATTTTTGTATCCTTTGAGTAAATACCTAGTAGTGCAATTGCTAGATTGTAGGGTAGTTCTATCTTTAACTTTTTGAGGAAACTCCGTACTGTTTCTCAGAGTGGCTGCACAAGTTTGCATTCCCACCAACAGTGTAGGAGGGTTCCCCTTTTGCTGGAGAGGTTTTCAGTGACATTTGGTGCATTGGCTTGGGGAGTAGCAGTTTTGGAAGTCTGAGGTTCCAATAAGAGGAGGGACCAGAAGAGGGCTGGTCTGAGAGCTCATCCCAGACAGGTTTAGTGTCCCTTGCCTTTGTATTATTGGTCCCTTAGCTCCCATTGACTCAAGAAAGAAGACAGGTTCTGTACAAAAATGACAAAGATGCCTTGGTCTTGTGGAAATAAAAACCATCAGGATTCCAGGTTCAGGTATAAGCATGGGAACTGCTCTGTGCCTGAGTGTCCCTTTTCATTACCGCTCCCTCCAAGATCTCTCACCTTTGCCCCTCCCCCCACTTACCCTTGCTCTTTTCCCTATTACCTCAGCTCGCACGTGGCCCTGGTGGGCACCTCACTGAAGCCTTCAGGTCTAAGACCCACAGCTCATGGACCGTCCTCTCTGTGTCTCTTAGTTTAAATTCATGAGAGTGAATCTGATTGGTGGGCCATGGATCAAGAGATCACCCACTCAGGGTCCAGTCACATCGGGGGAAAGGTGGATTGTGTTAAGGCATCAGCAGCTGAGGGCTACTAGGGAGGGGCAGGTTCCTGGGTGTCCTGATATTCATTCCAGTCACCCTATAAGGCAGAGTATGGTAGAGGTCACTAGTGCCCCTTTCTACTACCTGTAACCAGTGCTGAGCTCGCTTCAAAGACCTCATGACACTCATCCACAGATATAACTTAATAACCCTCACCCTAACTCACTTTTGATGGCATAATGATTTCTGTTCTTAAGTTCCACCCATTTCTAAATGGCTACAATGGTCAATTTATTGTTTATGCACAGTTCATGACAATTATAAAAAATTCCATCTCTTTCTGATGTTTGAATTTTTCTAAATCAATTGTTCTCCATGTGTGGTCTTCAGACCAGCAGCAACAGCATCACCTGGGAACTTGATAGATATTCAAATCCTTGAGCCCCACATCAATGCACTGCTTCAGAAACTCTGGGGTGGGCCCGGCAAACTGTGTTTAACAAGCTCTGCAGGTGATTCGGATGCACACGGAAGTTTGAGAACCACTGTTCTAGGTACATGGAAATTACTCCTGAGCTCTTTACATCTTTAGCCTGTGGTATTTTCCAGGGGGCTTAGAATGATTGCTTGGAGCTTGGGTGTGTTGTATAAATAAGAAAACAATTGATGGGAGTCATGAATATTGTTGGTTGCGCTTCAGGGAGTGTTAATTAAACTTCTTTTACAGCCGTAAGTGAACACCAGGTTCTCATCATTGGGTTTGATCTTAATACGCTCCTAAGCTGTTCACGAAGCTCCAAGACAAGGTAATGTTAGATTTCCTGTTGAAATCTATTAAATAGCTGATATTTGAAGAATACTCTTTCACATGTGTACTCTCAGGGGACTGTTGTCATCTGCCTCTTAGCCAGTGATTTTTATCATGGTGAGAAATGAAGGCTCAGAGGGGGTGGCAGTGAGAGAGCCTGGCTCCCACTGCATCTGACTCTGGGCCCACGTGTTTCTGCATCTCACTTGTCACTCTGCACTTGGGAGCCTTGCATTTTGCCCAAGTGCGCACAGCAAGCCGAGCTGGGATTTGAACCCCTGCCTCCTAGTTTAAGATCTTGTTGTGGGTAGTGTGAGTTTGTGGAAGGCTGAGTTAAAGATAGATCTGACCACCCCACTGAAGTCATGACCGACCTGAGTAAGTGAGGTGAGTTCTCTGCACCTGTTTCCTCCTGTGAACTGTGAAACATCTTTCCCCCAAGGAGACAGTGTAGGTTGGAGATTCAGCTGTTGCAGTGGGGCAGAAGCCTAAATCAGTGGTGTTCTGAGAGGTTTTATTTAATTTTTTAAAAGATTTATTTATTTTAGAGAGAGGGAGAGAGCAAGAGAGGAGGAGCAGAGGGAAATGGAGAGAGAGAAACCCAAGCGGACTCCACACTGAGCACAGAGCCCGATTCGGGGCTTGATCCCACGACCCATGAAATTACAACCTGAGCCGAAACCAAGAGTCAGATGCTTAACAGACTGTGCCACCCAGGGCCCTCTGAAAGGTTTTAATCTATGGTGGGGTTGCAAATAATTTCTTACTGAACAACTGAAGTAACAACATTTGTAAATGGCATATTTAAAAAAAAATTAGAGCAGGTTTGAGGTTACCCCCATAATGACACCCTCACACACTCATAATCTAATGTGCTTCTCAAGTGATTAAGACAAGGTGGTGTGGAAACCAGCATGGGTTGTTCCCCAGAACCCTCAGCCTTCCATGGGTGTGTTACACGCATGAGCTTCATGCATCATGTTTTGACAAAGGACGAAGACCGGAAAGAATCACTGGGCTTCCCAGACTTTCAGCTGGAGCTCTCCTTGCCCTTCACCTTAGACTTTGCTAGGACTGCTCTGTCCAAAGTCACCCCCTTCTGTTGCTACCACCTCTTTGTCCCTTTCCTCTTCCAGCACCTGTGTGTCTCATTCTGTCGTTCAATCCTCTCAACTCACTTCAAGCCAGCAGGTCAAATCAACAACCCAAAGCAGCTGCTACATGTAAGGCTTTGTCCTGGGAGTGCGAACGGTGGAAAGAGGAGACAGGTCAGAACTGCTCCCGGGCCACACTTAGAGTCAGTAGAGAAATGCTGGGCCATGTCTTTTCAGAAAATAGAACTCAACAGGCCATAAAAAAAAAAAAAAAAAAAAAAGGGTTGCCCTGAAAGCTCAGTGATTGCAAACCACAAGACGTCATGTGACACCAGCTCTAAGTTTCTCCCTCTAAACCTTGGCCTGAAGCAAAGGTTCAACACTGGCTAACATTAAACTAACAGCCAGGGGTCCTCACTCAGGTGGACATTGGTGGAGAGCCCACTGGGGGCAGGAGCAAGTGGGGGCGGCAGGTTTCCAACAGGATTAACATGGTTTTCCCTTTGAGAATCTTAGACCTCAGTGGGGAGACAGGCCCACAAATGACTCTGACACCAGACTGTGGCAGGAGACACGGCACTGCTCCCCAGATAGGGGAGAAAGAGCGTTATCTGGGATACTCTGAGGCAGCTGGGGGCCGGGGAGGGACAGCTGAAGGAGGGCTACCTGGAAGGCCTGGGCATAGGGATTGAGGCTTTGTGTGCTAAATCTCTTCCCAAGTTAGGCAAACCCAGGACTCCCAGCATGAAAACCTTTAAATTCAGGGGCACCTTGCTGGCTCAGTCAGAAGAACATGTGACTCTTGATCTCGGGGTTGTGAGTTCTAGCCCCATGTTGGGTGTAGAGATGACTTACATAAATAATTTTTAAACTTAAAAAAAAAAAAGCCTTTAGAGCAAATTGTATTTTAGACAGGGGCTGTTTATTTCTTCAAGACCTCATTTTCTCCAAGCCAGGAGGACAGTCAGGGTCAGGAGGGTTGGGTCAGAGCAGCTGAGGCTCTTCACTGAGTAGGTGTCACCTGTGTCCCTGATGGTGCTCCAGAGACCTGCATATATTATGAATAATCCATAACTATAGATCATTTCACCCCTACTGCTGTTTTAGCAAATGTGTTAGTTGATGCTTCATAAAACAGAAGGTGCTTAGGTTTGGAAGACCCAGGTTTTGCTCCATGGGATGGAGGTCCCTCTGCAGAGTCCCTGTCATTTCTACCAGTTCTGTGCTCTGGGCCAACCTAGTACAAATGTCATCCTCTCCCCACATGATGGCCCTTGGACAGGAGATGCTCTTGTACTGCACCTCCTTGCACCCCCCACCCCATATATTTTCTTCCCCAGACCAAACACACCCACCTGCACAGACCCTTCCTCAAGGTTGCCCTCTGCTGGTGGAACTGCCACATGCTATTGAACCGTGCCTTCCAGCCCGCAGGCCAGGACTTGGAGATTGGAAAACCAATTTAGGGTTTGTTTTGAAATGTTAGAAAAAACTGTTTTATTAAAAAAAAAATGAAAGAAGGAAAGACAGAAGGAGAGAAATGGACTAAAAATAAAAGAGAAAATAGACTGCACTCATGTAAGGATAGCATTTTTACATCGTTTTATTTCAAATACATATTTACCTGAATGTATATCAAATATTAAAAATATATAAATGTCTACACACAAATATAGTGATACCACAGACTGCTCGATGATTTGCAAACTGTGATCAAGGAGAAGTTCTCATTTAAAAGAAAATAAGATAGGAGTTCATTTACATTAAAAAGACTGGAGATGGGGGGCACCTGGGGTGGCTCAGTCCGTTAAGCATCTAACTTCAGCTCAGGTCATGACCCTGGAGTCCTGGGATCGAGCCCCATGTCAGGCTCTCTACTCAGCGGGGAGTCTGCTTCTCCCTCTTCCTCTGCCTCTTCCCACACTGGTTCTCTCTCTCGAATAAATAAATCTTAAAAAAAAGACTGGAGATGGATAATCTAGAATAGGTATAATCATTGGGAATCCAGGCTCCTATCTTGCTTCTACCTTATGGTCCAGGATGGATGCTTGAGATCCTGCCGTTATGTGCATAATCCAGGCAGCATGAAGAAAGGACTGCCACTCACCGTGCTCCTGCAGCGCCCCGGGCCAGGTCTCAGTGGAAGGGCTAGGGTTAATATTTAGCTGGTGCATATCAGTAGAGCTATACCAGTAGCTCAATTATTGAACGACTTCTGTACCAGCTTGTTTATAGGTGCTGGTCCCCTGATGCCCAGAATTTAAGTCTCAGTTTCCTTTTCTGCAGGGTAAGAATACATAATTATAGTACTTATCTCATAAATTTGTGAAAATTAAATGAGAGACCTACATTCTTATCACAGTGGCCAGCACAGAATCAAGGCAGAATGAATTAAAGCCATCATTATTATTAACTATGTTGATTTTATTTAGTTAATTACAGCGAACGAGCGAGGTGGGGGAGGAGCAGAGGGAGGGAGAGAAAGAATCTTAATCAGGAAACCAATACAGGGCTCGATATCAGGACCCTGAGATCATAACCTGAGCGGAAATCAAGAGTCTGATACTTAGCCCACTGAGCCACCGAGGGGTCCCAATTAGCTATGTTTTGTTTTTTTATAAATAATAAAAAAAAAGCATGGCATCAGAACCAAAAACGGTACTCAAGGACAAGCTAATACAGGGAACAGAGACTTGGCACAGTGTTTTGACTCCTGCAGGAGCAATAACAATGTACCTAAGGAGGGGCAATAATAGTAATTTTCCCACCCCTCAGTCACTTCCTGCCCACAACCTGGTGGGTATGGCTTTTGACTCCGTGTTTCTGGAGCCCTTACTGATGACACACGTTGCCGTCACAGGGCGGAGGTAACCCGCAGAGTCATTCCCGTGTCCCCTTGTCTTCCCAATCCCGCAGCAGGTCCTGCTCACCGACGGCCGGCCCGTCCCCTCAAGCGGCGGCGCTGCGGGCCGTGTGGCCGCCGCGGGCCTCGGCTTACCGGAGAGTCTGGAGGACGTTTGCCAGCCGGTCCGGGGCCGAAAGAGACGCTTTCCTGCGGGATGTTTTCCCCGAAGGCTTCCTCTGGGGCGTCTCCACGGGGGCCTTTAACGTGGAAGGCGGCTGGGCCGAGGGCGGAAGAGGGCCGAGCATCTGGGACCCCCTGGGGCGCCCGAACGCCTCCCAGGGCGCCGCGACGCCGGAGGTGGCCAGCGACAGTTACCACAAGGTGGACACCGACGTGGCCCTGCTTCGGGGCCTCCGAGCTCAGCTGTACAAGTTTTCCATCTCCTGGTCCCGAATCTTTCCCAGTGGGCGCGGGCGCCAGCCCAGCCGCCGGGGCGTCGCCTACTACAGCAGGCTCCTGGACAGCTTGTTGGACGCGGGCATCCAGCCCATGGCCACGCTCTTCCACTGGGACCTGCCCCAGGCGCTGCAGGAGCACGGCGGGTGGCAGAACGACAGCGTGGTGGACGCCTTCCTGGACTACGCGGCTTTCTGCTTCGCCACCTTCGGGGACCGCGTGAAGCTGTGGGTGACCTTCCACGAGCCGTGGGTGATGAGCTACGCAGGCTATGGCACTGGCCGACACGCGCCGGGCATCTCAGACCCGGGGGTGGCCTCTTTTAAGGTACCTCTCGGCCCGTCGGGCCGCCTCACTGGGGGAAACCTTTCTCTGGGAGAAAAGTCCTTTTCTCTTCCCTTCAGCAGGCCTCTCCTTCTCGTCCTTTAAAGAAAGCCAGAGCCGGGGAGGGAAGGCACGGGAAATTGTTAATCACCTTGTTTTGTCCAGACACTGTGCTGGCACTTGGAAAACAGTCATTACATGCTTAGAACGACGCTGGTGGCTGAGGGAACTGGGATGCGCAGAGCAGAAACTGCTTCATGATGGCATCCGTAGACGGGCAGCCGTTTGAAGCCAGAATGCGGGCCCGTCTACTTGACTCCACAGCAAGTTCTCCACGTCAGCCAGGACTATTAGTGGAGGTGACAGAAAACCAAACCCAGAGTGACCTGAGCAAAGAGGGTATCTGGCCACTCAGGAAACGGAAAAGTCTGGGTTTTAGGGGGTCTCAGTGGAGCCTGATCACACCCAAAACACTGCCACTAGTACTCGATTTCTCTTCCTCTCTTGCCCCGCTACTGGCTTTCTACTTGGGCTGCCTGCTAACCACAGGGTGGCAGCCCTGCTTTCCTCTTTCAAGAGGAGCAGGAAAGCAAGCTTGCCTCTCTTCTGGCATTCCCAGCAAACGCATTCCTGGGTCTCAGGGCTGCTGCATGGGTGGTGTGCCCATCCCTGAACCAGTCACTGGATCTAGGCTAGGGGCCTGGAATGCCGGGACTGGTCTGGGTCCCGATCCCAGCTCTACCCATCACACACTGGCTGAGAGGTGGGGAGGGAGAAAGGGTTTTGTTTTCCAGAGCCTAGTCAGCGTACCATTCCCACAAGAAGGGGATGTATATACTGGAGACAAAAATTTAAATGGCTTCATACAGGTCCTTTCCATCATTTCCATATTTCTTCAGAATCTCCGCTTCCCCTGGCAGCCTTCTCCAGGATGGACCTTTAGTCTGGCTTTCTCCTGCCGCACTTGGGTTCTATTCAGAAATAGGAGTCTTTGCTGTGCCCCATGCTGGGTGTTAAGGAGGATGCATGGCCCATGTCCTTGAGATTTAAAACTTTTTGCAGGAGATGATACAAATACATATAAGAAAATTAGAGAGCAGTCCAAAATGTCCACAGTCAGAATGCACTAGAAAAATCAGAATCAGTGACTTGATGAAATGCCAAAAATCCCTATAACCCTGAAGACAAGGCTTCCACTCTGCTCTTGTTCAGCAAAGTGACCGTATACACTGAGAGAGAACACTTCGGAAAATGGAAGGTTGAAACCTTTCTATTTGTCTCCTCATTGTAAAACTCATCCTAATCTCTTCTCCTTAGGCTTCTCCTTTGGCTTCTTATCCCTACAAGTGTGGCTCCTAGAAAGTCCACCTCACTTTGCTCCTTCACCTCTTGCTTTTATGTATTAGTTAAAATAGTATAATACCATTAAGGGAAAATTTCAAAGAAAAAGTGTCTCTCCTAATTTTGCCCCTGTTTCCTTCCAGTCCTGGCTCCCTTGCATTCACAGTGTACTCAGAGTGCCCTCAATTTAGTGCATATTTTTAAAGTGGACTTTATTTTTTTACAGTAGTTTGAAGTTCACAGCAAAATTGAACAGAAGTTACCTAGATTTCCCATATACCCTCTGCCCCTCCCCCAGACTCCCCCATTATCAACACCCCCTCCCCACCAGCATGGTACATTTGTTACAATTGATGACCCTACACTGACACATCACAATCACCCTAGTGCTCATTTTTCACCTGACATGTCATTAACCCTTTTCCGTGTTCTTACACGGCCACAGTAGCTGGTTCTGCTAGTTGTCTGATCCTCCACTGAGCCCCCTGCCTGACGCGGACTGGTTTAGAAGGCAAGCATTCCTGCTTTTGGGAAAGGAGCACAGTTTGCCATGGAGCTGAGGACCCAGTTAAGGACTAATATTTGGAACATGAGAAGCAGTGAGGAGTTTCACTTCCTAGAGCATATTTTGATAATAAATTCTTCAAAAATAAGTGTCGTCTTCTTCAGATGATGGTAACGATAAAGGAAAGGAAGCTAGACTGCAGCAAGCTCCCGCCTGCACTCCAGTTTCCTGCTTGGTGCTTTGTTTACACGATCTTACTTTGTCCTAAATGGATCCGTAATCACCGCTTCTTGCAGACAAGGAAACTGAATGAGAAGATTGTTTGAGTTTACTCAGCAAGTTAGTGACAAAGTCAAGATTCAAATCTAGGTTTGTTATACTCCAGGCACCCCGCTTTTGCCCGTTTTCCCATGGTGCTCTGCCAAAGGAAGCTGTTGACTTTTGTAAGACCTTGAGTTAAGTCTACAAAGAGATTCCTGGTCATGGGTTTTCTGCCTAGATTTCATTAAGTAGAAAGGATGATAGGTAGGTTAGAAAGAATTGTCCCATCCCTTGTATGGGACAATGACCCCCCCCAAATTTGTTGTTGATGAATTAGTCAATAAGAATTATTGAGAACAAAGGCAGAATTGCATTGTTTGGGACAGTACAGGCCTAGAGTCAGACTTCCTGCATTCTACACCTCTCTGGATCTTGTTTCCCTCCTCTGTACAGTGGTAATAATAATTATACTTGCCATGTAAGGTTGTTGTAAGAAATTCATGAGAGAATTCATTAACAGTGTTTACTGTGAAATATGGTTATTGATGCTGCTGCTGTTGACCTGTCAGTGGTGGTAACTCGTTGACATTGTCGTTGACTTACTGACTCTGTTGTATGCATCGTTGATATTGCTGGCACTGGTGTTGATGATGTTGTCCGTGTCAACATTGTTCATGTCGTTGATTTACTGACATTGTTAGCATCCGTCTTAACTTCTTATTGATATTGCTGACTTGTTGACATTGGCGTTAACTTTTTTTTTTTTAAAGATTTTTTATTTATTCTACAGGCAGCAAGAGAGGGAACACAAGCAGGGGGAGGGGCAGAGGGAGAAGCAGACTCCCTGCCAAACAGGGAGCCCGATGTGGGGCTTGATCCCAGGACCCTGGGATCATGACCTGAGCTGAAGGCAGACACTTAACGACTGAGCCACCCAGGCACCCCTGACACTGGCATTAACTTGTTGATGACTTGCTGATGTTGTTTACGTTACTCTTGTTACTGATGTGGACATTTTCAGTGTTAGTGTTGTCATTGACACTGGTGTTAACTTGTTGATGTTGTAGACTTGCTCTTGGCTTATGGTTGTTGGCTTTGCTGTTGGTTGTTATTAAGCACTGTATTTCCTTCTTTCTTCCTCACAAGGTGGCTCACTTGGTTCTCAAGGCTCATGCCAGAGTGTGGCACCACTACAATAGCCACTATCGTCCACGGCAGCAGGGACGCGTGGGCATTGTGTTAAACTCAGACTGGGCAGAACCTCTGTCTCCAGAGAGGCCTGAGGACCTCAGAGCCTCTGAACGCTTCCTGCACTTCATGTTGGGCTGGTTTGCACACCCCATCTTTGTGGATGGAGACTACCCTGCTGCCCTGAAGGCCCGGATCCAACAGATGAACCAACAGTGCCCCAGTCCTATGGCCCAGCTCCCTGAGTTCACCGAGACAGAGAAGCAGCTCCTAAAAGGCTCTGCTGATTTTCTGGGTCTGTCTCATTATACCTCCCGCCTTATCAGCAAGGCCCAAGAAGATTCTTGCATCCCCAGCTATGATACCATTGGAGGCTTCTCCCAACATGTGGACCCTGCATGGCCCCAGACCTCATCCCCTTGGATTTATGTGGTGCCCTGGGGTATAAGGAGACTGTTGCAGTTTGCATATTTGGAATATACAAGAGGAACAGTTCCGATCTACCTGGCTGGGAATGGCATGCCCATAGGGGAGACCGAAGATCTCTTTGAAGATTCCTTGAGAGTAGACTACTTCAAAAAATATATCAACGAGGTGCTCAAGGGTAAGAATGGTGGATATGCTGGTGATTGGAACTTCTTGGTACTTCTTGGTACTTGGTACTTCTCCAAGTCTTCAGAGTTTTGTTTCATGAGACAAAGACAGTCTTCCAGGAAAATGAAGCCAAAAAGTAGTAGTAGTAGTAATATCATGAATCCTGCACATTACCTTCCTGTCTCCCCGAGAAGCCTCAAGTCTTTGCTCCTCTGTTCTTATTCCCTATAATGCCTTCTACATTCTGCCCATCTGAGTCTTATCCACTCATCAAGACTCATCATCTTTTAATGCATTCATTTAACAAAAATGTATTCAGTGCGTATTATGTGCCACACATTGCACAAGACTATAGGGGTTAAATAGTGAACAAATATCTTTTCCCATAGGGCACTCAGAGTCTACAAAGGAACACAGAAAATTACAATATAGGATGACAATGGCATTATAAGATGGGACTTCAACCCATTAAATCTTCCCTCATTGTTCTGGGCACATTAATCTCCATGTTCTTTAACCAGCTATAACACCTACATTCCACACCATTCACTTTGATCCAATTAATTCATATCTACAGAATCATTCTTGCCTAACACAGTTTCATATGCCTTTTAAAACTTTTTTAAATTTTAATTCCAGTATAGTTAACATACAGTGTTATATTGGTTTTAGGTATACAATATAGTGATCTGACAATTCTATACATAGTGCTCCTCATGATAAATGTACTTATAATCTCCTTCACCTATTTCACCCATCCCCGCACCCCCTCCCCTTTGGTAACCATCAGTTTGTTCTCTATAATTAAGAGTCTTGGTTTGTCTCTTGTATTCTTTGTTTTGTTTCTTAAATTCCACATATGAATGAAATCATATGGTATTTGTATTTACCTGATGGACTTACGTCACTTGGCGTTATACCCTCTCTATCCATCCATGTTGTTGCAATTGGTAAGACTTCATTCTTTTCTACAGTTGTGTAATATTGCATTGTATATATAAATACCACATCTTCTTTATCCATTCATCTTTTGATAGACACTTGGGCTGCTTCCATAATTTGGCTGTTGTAAATAATGCTGCAATGAACAGGGTGCATGTATCTTTTTGAATTAGTGTTTTTATATTCTTTGGGTAAATACCCAGTAGTAGAATTACTGGATCATAGGGTAATTCTATTTTTAATTTTTTTAATAATTTTAAAAAAGATTTTATTTATTTGATAGAGAATGGGAGAGCGAGAGAGCACAAGCGGGGGGAGCAGCAGTGGGAGAGGGAGAAGCAGGCTCCCCACTGAGCAGGGAGCCCGATGCGGGGCTGAGCCAAAGGCAGATGCTTAACTGACTGAGCCACCCAGGCACAGTAAGCAGATATTCTCATAGGACAATTGTGAAAACTGATGCTCAGAGAAATTACATGATGTGCCCAAACAGCCAGTGAGTGAAACAGGTACGCCTTTCTATTTCTGTTTCAGCAATACCCACAAACCTATGAGACTTCTATTCCTCTTTGTTTCCAGAGCCTATTACAGCCTGGGACAATGTAGGTGCTTAATAAATTATTTATTGAATGATTAAATGAACTATACAAAATATATGAATTACCTGCCTCTTATACAGTTAGTGCTTGTTGAGAGGCTGTGTAATCTGTTAAAAATAGGGCTTAGTACTTTGCTGGTTCCCAGTTTGAGCCCAAAGCCATTGCTTTACTCTGATGCTGGTTTTTGGTTGACTCACTAGACTTTATTCTTTTTCTTTTCCTTCCTTCCTTTTTCTTTCTTTTTTTTTTTATTATTTTTTAAAGATTTTTATTTATTTATTTGACAGAGAGAGAGACAGCGAGAGAGGGAACACAAGCAGGGGGAGTGGGAGAGGGAGAAGCAGGCTTCCCGCCGAGCAGGGAGCCCGATGCGGGGCTCGATCCCAGGACCCTGAGATCATGACCTGAGCTGAAGGCAGTTGCTTAACCAACTGAGCCACCCAGGCGCCCCCTTCCTTTTTCTTTCTTTCTCTCTCTCTTCTTTCTTTCTTTCTTTCCCTCCCTCCCTCTTTCTCTCTCTCTCTCTCTCTCTTTCTTTCATATTTTCTCATATTTCTGGAGGCCAGAAGTCCAAAATGGAGATGTCAGTAGGGCCACTCTCCCTCCAAAGTCTTCAGAGTGGACTGTTTCCTTGCCTCTTCCAGCTTCTGGTGGCTCCAGGCATTCCCTGGCTAGTGACTGTATCACCCCAATCTCTGCCTCCATCTTCATGTGGACCTTCTCTATTTTTCTTTTAAGGATGCTTGTCATTGGATTTCTGACTCACTCAGTTAATGTAGGATGATCTCATCTTAAGATCCTTAATTTAATTACATCTACAAAGACTCTTTTTCCAAATAAGATTACATTCACTGGTATGGGAAATTAAGATTTGGACATATCTTTTTGGGAATCACGATTCAACCCACTGTACCAGGGAATACCTTACTGTAGGCTTTATTTCTCTTTTTAAAGATGGGCTGTGTGATCATTTTATGTCCATATTGCTAAACATAAGGAAAAACAAAAGTACATTGTAAATATTTATGCATTCTATAAAAAACCAAGGAGCCCTGATAATAGCAGATGGGACACATTCTCATATTCATTTTAAGGCAGGGATTCTCCTCTGGATTGAGACTTAAGACCATAGATGTGGCCTGATGATTTGTAGGGTCTTAGGGATTTTTCTTTTATTCATTGTAAGGAAAAAGGGTTAGCATTTTTGGGGTAACCCAAGTCCTCTCCAAAGTGTGCATATCAAAAGGAAAGCCTTTAAATAGCAACATCAGTAACAGAGACATTAAAATAATCCTGAGTTTTGTTTTTTTCTATAGCTGTTAAGGAGGACTTGGTGGATGTTCGATCTTACATCGCTCGTGCCCTCATGGATGGCTTTGAAGGCCCCTCTGGTTATGGCCAGAGGTTTGGGCTGCACCACATCAGCTTCAATGATAGCAGCAAGCCAAGAACTCCCAGGAAGTCTGCCTACTTTTTCACCAGCATCATTGAAAAGAACGGTTTCCTTCCCAAGGTAGTAAAGAGACTGCCACCACCCAGTACAGCGAACTTTCCGCCTAAAATGAGAGCCTTCACTTTTCCATCTGACGTGCCCTCCAAGGCTAGAGTAGTTTGGGAAAAGTTCTCCAACCAACCCAAGTTTGAAAGAGATCTGTTCTACCATGGCACTTTCCGGGATGACTTTCTGTGGGGCGTGTCTTCATCAGCCTATCAGATTGAGGGAGCTTGGGATGCTGAGGGCAAAGGCCCCAGCATCTGGGATAACTTCACCCACACACCAGGGAGCAGTGTGAAAGACAACACCACTGGAGACATCGCCTGTGACAGCTATAACCAATTGGATGCTGATCTGAATATGCTTCGAGCTTTGAAGGTAAAGGCCTATCGCTTCTCTCTCTCCTGGTCTCGGATTTTCCCAACAGGAAGAAACAGTTCTATCAACAGACATGGTGTTGATTATTACAACAGGCTGATCAATGGCTTGGTGGCAAGCAACATCTCACCCATGGTGACACTGTTCCACTGGGATTTGCCCCAGGCCCTCCAGGATATTGGAGGCTGGGAAAATCCTTCCTTGATTGAGTTGTTTAACAGCTATGCAGACTTTTGTTTCCAGACCTTTGGGGACAGAGTCAAGTTCTGGATGACCTTTAATGAGCCCACATACCAGACATGGTTAGGTTATGGCTCAGGGCAGTTTCCTCCACAGGTGAAGGACCCAGGCTGGGCACCTTACAGGATTGGCCATGCAATCATCAAAGCTCATGCCAGAGTCTATCACACTTATGATGAGAAATATAGGCAGGAACAGAAGGGGGTCATCTCTTTGAGCCTCGGTACACACTGGGCAGAGCCCAAGTCACCGGAGATCCTGAGGGACGTGGAGGCAGCTGACCGATCACTGCAGTTCTCACTGGGCTGGTTCGCCCACCCCATTTTCCGAAATGGAGACTATCCTGATGCCATGAAGTGGAAAGTGGGGAATAGGAGTGAACTTCAACACTTAGCCACCTCCCGCCTGCCAAGCTTCACTGAGGAAGAGAAGAGGTACATCAGGGCTACAGCCGACGTGTTCTGCCTCAACACCTACTACTCCAGAATTGTGCAGCACAAAACGCCCAGGTTAAACCCACCCTCCTATGAAGATGACCAGGAGAAAACTGAGGAGGAGGACTCTTCATGGCCTTCCACAGCAATGAACAGAGCTACGCCCTGGGGGATGCGAAGACTGCTCAACTGGATCAAGGAAGAGTACGGTGACATCCCCATTTACATCACTGAAAACGGAGTGGGGCTGAGTAATCCGAAAGTGGAAGATACCGATAGGATATTTTACCACAAAACCTACATCAATGAAGCTTTGAAAGGTATGTGAGCATTCATGTCCCCTTTACAGAATCTTCCAGCATCCATATGTCATGTGCCTGAAATAGTTTGGCAGAGTAGATTCCAAACCATCAACAAGTCTCTCTTAGGCCCTAACTCCATAATTCTTTTCCTATCTGGGGTTACATATCCCTTCAGAAATCTGAAAAAAAGCCACGGTCATCTTCCCACAAATAAAGAGTATTTTCATGGGTCCATCCATTCCTTACTGAGCAACTGCTATGTGACAAGTTCTATTCTAAGTGCAGTGAACAAAAAGATAACATGGAGCTTATATTCTGGTGAGTTCCATGCACCCCAGAACAAGAAACTCTTCTCTAATTCATATTTGTATGTTTAATTTCTAAAGTGGGCTGAGACTCTTGATTTGAGGCATGTCCCTTTACCCCAACAAAAGAATTTGATTTTGCAAAGATCGGTCATTAATTATTGCTGTGAGGGCATCAGTGCTGGCAAAAAAGACAAGGTGATATGTCTATCTGGGCATACATTACTTGTGTATAGAAGGTAATGGTTTAGGACTACTGTCTTGAATGAGGGGCCAGTCTTGGCTAGGCTTCCTGGGGAACCTCACCCTCCTGGTGTAAAGCTCTTCTCTGCTCCCTTTGGGATGTTCCCAGCCTACAGACTGGATGGTGTAGACCTTCGAGGCTATTCTGCATGGTCTCTGATGGACAATTTTGAGTGGCTGAATGGCTACACAGTCAAGTTTGGACTGTACCATGTCGATTTCAGTAACACAAACAGGCCTCGCACAGCCAGAGCCTCGGCCAGGTACTACATGGAGGTCATCACCAACAATGGCATGCCACAGCCCAGGGAAGATGAGTTTCTCTATGGACATTTTCCTGAGGGCTTCATCTGGAGTGCAGCTTCTGCCGCGTATCAGGTGAGAAGTCCGGGGCCATTCAGAAACATGTGTTGCATACCTTATCCCCGCCCCCCCGGGAGGGCAGGTAAGAGCAAGGGCTTCTCACAGACCTGTGGGAGGGAAGTACAGGTGCCATGCAGGGAGTCGGGGAGGTCCTTTCCCTGGACAGCCCAGCTTCTTCACATCCCCAAATTCAGGCAGACCAGCTTCTAGGGCTGTGCTGAGACGGGTGTTGGCAGGCAAAACGGAGCAGTGAACCTGGGCACAGACACTTAGGCAGAGACGTGCGAACAGGAAGCTTCTCTGCTGGAATGGGGCTATTTGTCACCCAGTCTCTTCCGAGCAGGCAATTGGCTCAGAATGGCTGTCACCGGGGCCTGGGCTTGTTTTGATGTCCTGACCACATTTGAGTGTTAGCTTATTCGTGCCAAATGAAGCTCACTGATACAGAAAACATAAGGGTTTTGCTTTTCGCCAGAAAAATGAAAGATAAAAAGCAAAGCGTGACTTGCCCAGGCAGTTAGTGAGGAGTCGCTGCTTTACACCTTCTGCCTCTGCTGATTGTCTTTGAAGCAGGAGTGGGGGGGCTTTGTGTGCTCCCTGTGGGACCTGGTCAGTGTCAGTGCTGTGAGCTGACCTGACCCAGGATGCGCTCAGCCCTTGGTGTTCTAGACAACCAGAGCTGCTGAAAATGTTTTGGAGGGAGGTGAGGGTTCGCTACTCCCAGATGACCGCACTACCAGGTTACAGTTAAGTCTCAGGCCAAATTCAGCCATGTCCAGACATGATTAAGTAAATGTACAAACACAAAAACCGTTCATGGATCCTATTCTGTGGGCTGGAGGAAACCCCAGTTCTTGGTCCTCTTCGGTGCTCTGGCCAACACCTTGCATGAAAGAATCATTTGAGGAAATGCCAAGATTTCAGAGACAGTATTCTGTCACTCTTACTTCAGGCCAACAGAACCCGCTGTCCAGGGTTTCCCCAGTTCGGCCTGATGGACATTGGCATGGATGATTCCTTGTTTTGGGGCTTTCCTCTGCCCTGCTGGATGTTTAGCAGCCTCTCTGGTCTGTAGCCACTAGACATCAGGACATTCCTCCCCAACTTGTAACAACTAAAAATGTTTCCGAACATTGCTAAATGTCTATTCTGGGACAAAATAGCCCCTGGGGGGAGAGCCACTACCCCACAGGTTTACAGCGGGACACAGAAAGGGTTAGGAATTGATTCTAGGGCACAGGCTGCAGGCCCTGTAGGATTCTTAAACCCTGTCCATGCAAGGGAAAGGAGTGTCTTAAAAAGCTTTTAGCCAACCCACATCTTGAATGATTAAATTGGCTTCAGCAAGCACCCATTTCTATTCATCAGGCGGTTAGCAGGCACAATTCTCGTCATCTGCGACCTTAAATTGTCTAATTAGCAAAGTGTCATGTACAAATCAAGAATAGATGAGAAGTGCTTATAGTGTGGGCTTCCTGATTAGATATCATCTGATTGTGCATTCTTTTTTTTTTCCTTAGATTTATTTATTTGAGAGAGAGAGCATTCATGCATGGGGGGAAGGGCAGAAGGAGAGGGAGAGACAGTCTTAAAGAAACTTCGCGCTGAGCATGGAGTCCAACACGGGGCTCAATCTCATGACCCTGAGATCAGGACCTGAGCCGAAACCAAGAGTCAGACTGCACCAACCAACTGCACCACCCTGGCGCCCCTGATTGTGCATTCTTATTAAAACCTCTTATTTGGGGCACTTGAGTGGCTCAGTCGTTAAGCGTCTGCCTTCGGCTCAGGTCATGCTCCCAGGGTCCTGGGATCGAGCCCTGCATCGGGCTCCCTGCTCCGCGGGGAGCCTGCTTCTCCCTCTCCCACTCCCCCTGCTTGTGTTCCCTCTCTCGCTGTGTCTCTCTCTGTTAAATAAATAAATAAATAAATAAATAAATAAATAAATAAATAAATAAATAAATAAATAAATAAAATAAATAAATAAAATTTTTAAAAAAAAAAAACAAAACCTCTTATTTGGAAATCTTTTTGAACATAGAGAAAAGTTGCAGAAATAGTAGAGGACTCCTATAAACCCTTTTCCCATATTCCTAAACTGTTAAAATTTTACCATTTGCCTTATGTGTGTATATACACACACATATTTATTATATGTATATGAAACTGATTTTAACACTTGAATGAGAAGGTGTTTGCCAGGTTTCTCTACCATAAAATTAGTATTTTATAGTTATAAATGATAAGTATTTTGTGGGGAGCTACTTGGAGACCCTATAAATAAAACCTGTTCCTCATCAAATTTTACCTATTAGTTCTAGCAACTGTTAATAATTTTTGCCTGAATCGGTTATTACAGTGATAGCTGACAAACTGATTTTTCTCATTTCATCATTCCTCTTGTATTTGTTAGGTGGCATTCAACAGAAGGGTCAAGCTTTTACTTTTCTCCTATTTACTCATACTATATAAGTATGCATCAGCTGTACGGCCTCATGGAGTCCTATTTTATTCAATGAGTTATACTTTTGCTAGTGTTATGTATTTAGATGTTCACATTTTCCCATGGGGTTTGCCTTTTAGCCTGATCCTGTGTCCCTTTCACATAGCCCATCATTCTTTGAGCACTTTCTTAGTTCTTTCTGGTACAAGATGCTCCAGACTCATCTTGGGCCTTTTCTGCCCCAGCCTTGTAACCATCTATCTCTCTAATGAGCCCCAGCCTCTTTTACCGGATGGGGCATTTAGCACCCAAGGTCTAGGTGCTGGGTGTGCTCACCACCACTGGGGTGTCTGCATTCCTCAGCTCCCGCAGTAGACAGAGCCAGGAAATACACATGTACACGCATGCACACAAACACGTGCACTTGTATGTATTTCTACATCCACCCCATCTCTACGTAGACTGAAAAACAGTGAGTTCATACTGATATCTCCTCTTCCAACCCCACTCCACAGGCTTAATGCTAGCCTTCCCATTGCCCGTATTTGTATCTCCTTTCTCCAGTGGTGAAAAATCTAGCTCCAAAGAGCCTCAACCTTGTCACTTATTTTCTCCATCTCCCTGCATTCACCAATCTCCCAGCCACCAAGGCCATCTCCTGCATCAGTGTGGGCCTGCTGGCCCTGGGCCCGCCGCTCACATGGGGACTGTGCAGGCCACGCCTGGGCGGGTGTTGCTGGCTGGGATACCAGCACTATCTTAGTGGCGGCCAGTCACATGACATCACAGCATATGTGCTGTAGTGCTTTAAAGTAAAGTAGGGGCGCCTGGGTGGCTCAGTCAGTGAAGCGTCCGACTCTTGATTTCGGCTCAGGTCATGATGACAGGGTTGTGGGATCGAGCCCCGCATCAGGCTCCTTGCTTGGCGGGGAGTCTGCTTGGGATTCTCTCTTTCCCTCTCTTTCTGCCCCTGCCCCCCACCCTGGCTCATGCATGCTTGCTCTGTCTCCAAAATAAATCAATTAAAAAAAAAAAGTAGGGGCGCCTGGGTGGCAGTTAAACAACTGCCTTCAGCTCAGGTCATGATCCCAGGGTCCTGGGATCAAGCCCTGCATCGGACTCTCTGCTCGGCGGGAAGCCTGCTTCTCCCTCTCCCACTCCCCCTGCTTGTGTTCCTGCTCTTGCTCTCTCTCTGTCAAATAAATAAAATCTTAAAAAAAAAAAAAGTAAATTACAGAACTTGTACCTGTCCCATTACCTAAGTCTGTAAGTAGGCATTTGCCCAGTGGCTTATGGTCACGTTCCCTATAAGGTAGGTGGGAGGAGAGAAAGGAGGCACAGAAGCCATGACATGGGTTAGAAATTAGAAATTCTGCCTCCACAGTGGCACCACTGGTATTTGTTTGACCGTGATGGGGACTGGAGGCATGTGGCATTGTTCATTCTGACTTCTAGTGAGCACCTGCCATACCCCAGACTCTGCTGTGTTGAGCGCTGGGACACCCAGATGAAAGCCCCTAGGGAGGTCCATCAGCGCTCCCACAACTGCGTGACACAGAGTGACAGTGCTGGGGTGGACAGACAGCATGTACAGAAGGCTGCAGGAGCTCAGAAATCAGAGGGTGGCCAGAGAAGTTTCCCAGAGGAGGTGACTCTGCCTTGCATCCTGACTTGCGACACCCCTGTTGACAGGAACTTGGGGGGGCTTGACTGCAGCACTTAACTAGACCATGTCTTGTCACCTTGAGATTGAAGGCGCATGGAGAGCAGACGGCAAAGGACTCAGTATTTGGGACACATTTTCTCACACACCACTGAAGGTGGGCAATGATGACACTGGCGACGTGGCCTGTGACAGTTACCACAAGATTGCTGAGGATGTGGTCGCCCTGCAGAACCTGGGTGTGTCCCACTATCGCTTCTCTGTCGCCTGGTCACGCATCCTCCCGGATGGAACCACCAAGTACATCAATGAAGCAGGTCTCAACTACTACGTGCGGCTCATTGACGCGCTGCTGGCTGCCAACATCAAGCCCCAGGTGAGGTCGGGCCCCGGCCAGGCTCTGGTCCAGTCCACGTGTGGGAGCCGGCTGGGCCAGGGGGCTCTTTATTCCATACACAAAATGCTCTCTTCAGATTCAGGTTTTGAACTGTCAATAAATTCACATGGCGCAGAATTTTAAAGATGTAAGAGTCTGCAGTGAAGATTTGCTGCAATCTCTGACCCCCAGCCATCCAGTTCCCCAGCTTAAAGAAAGCAGTCAAGTTGGCTAGGTTCTCACGGTCTCCTTTTGCATCGATTAGCCAGGAGACATATACATGTGTGCATGTCTGCTCCTTTCCCCCTTTTCCGTAACGCTCACATACATGCAGTTTGGTACTTGCTTTTATTTAACAGTATTTCTGACCCATATTTCCATATCCTTGCCAATTTTTTTTTAAGTTATATGGAATTCTATTTGTTCCTTACCTCTAGAACTACTTTTCCTTTTAATCAACACTCTTCCCTGTGACGTTTCCAGTCTTTTGCCATTTTAACCAGTAGTGCAGTGAGTCGCCTGGCTGTAAATTTATCTGTAGGCTGTGGTCCTAGGAGCAGCATTACTGGGGCAAAAGGGCATGTGGTTTTCAGCTCAGAGTTATTATGAATAATGATACAGAAGCTCACTTGTGAACTTACTTGGCTCTCACCAAAATTTTAAAGTTTTACTTGGGAGCCTAAGGACGCTTTGCCTCTTCCCCTGGGCACGTGTGGTGAAGTGGTGGAGGGCACCTTCTACAAAGCTCTGCATTTCCTCTGCTGTATGGCTGAGATTACATACTGCAGCCAGACTGTAACCCCCACGGTTACAACTCCCCCCCTCCCCCAAATAAAGTGCTATCTGGACTTCTTTGCTCATACTGATACCATGGCAGGAGCTAACCAGCCATGCAGCGCTTATTACCACAAATGCGGAGAGAGAACATGGCCAGGTGGCTGCCCTGTGGGACCCAGGGTCTGAGTGGACAATGAACTTCATCACACACAATTCCGAACACCATCAGAGAGCAGACAGCTCAGGGCCAAGGACGGTACAGCCCTTGAGGGCACCGAGCCATGGCAGAAAGCAAAGGCGCTAAGGCAGGGAAAGCTAAGGGCAGTGTGGGGCTTGAATAGAGAGGAGAATCTGGATGGATACATGGGCAGAGGACAGCATGCCAGGCAAAGGGAGAGACTGCGTCTGGGCTGAAGGTGGTTAGTGGGCCCCGTGCAGACCGAGGACAGTGGAGACCCAGCTTAGCCAAGATGGGGTGTGTGAGGGCATCAAGGGGAAGGCCACGTGGACATGGCCGGGGGGGCCGTCTCCAGCATAGGGTTCCCAGCTGCACAGGAAGAACATGCAGACACACTGGATAATGTTCTCGGGGGTGTCCCTTTATAAGGGAAACACCTCCACTCTCCCGGAGCTTCAGCGCCTCAGACGCTCAGCGCGGTCTATGCGGGGAGGTTCTGAAGCACTAGTGGTAAGGATCCCTGGCCCCACCATGACTCCATGATGTGCAGGTCTTAGTGCCTGAGCCAGGGTCACACACAGGGTAGGCGGCAGAGCCAGGACTCAAACCCAGTCTTCTCCGACCCAGATGTTGATTCTCTCACACTTGAACACTGCTGCCCTCCCCATCCCACCAAAGAACCTTTGAACTGTTTTGTCTTCTCATTCCTTCTCCGCTGTGGTTGGAGCACTCTGGATGGAGCTGTTGATCTTGCTTTCTCCACAGGTGACCATGTACCACTGGGATCTGCCACAGGCACTCCAGGATGTTGGAGGCTGGGAGAATGAGACCATTGTGCAGCGGTTTAAAGAGTATGCAGAGGTGCTCTTCCAGAGGCTAGGGGACAAGGTGAAGTTTTGGATCACCCTGAACGAGCCTTTTGTCATCGCTAACCAGGGCTATGGCTACGGGACATCAGCTCCAGGTGAGGGTCCCAGGCTCAAGTTGCCAGCTCTTTGGAGCATGGCATTCTTAGCCCCACCAAAACTTGAAATCCAGGTGGCCCTGGAAGAAGAGGCCAAGAAAGCTCGGTGGTGCTGCCTCTGAATCCCTGCTCTTGTTTAAGGCTGCCTGACACACAGCAGGTTTCCCCTTCTGACACCACTTTTTGCTAAACATGGATTTTATGGGTCAGTACCTCCAAATGGCTTCATTTCTTTGTGCTTTTTTTTGCCCTGCCTCAGATGGAAAGCTTCCTGAGATCAGAGACAGGGACTAATTGATGTAGGAAAGGACAAGCCATCAGACTGTACAGGTCCACAGTGTGTTTTCTGCAACTTCAAAACCCAAGTTTCCAAGAACTGATTCGGCTCACCTGAGCTCATCCTGACTTGAACCAATATGAGGCTGCTTACGGACATTATCCCACTTAGTGTGGGCACTTCTGCTGCAGCCACGTTTGGGTCCTTGATTATGGAGCGCTCTCCTGGGTCTGGTTGGGGTGCTGTGTAAAGTCATCTGCAATTTATTACTTTTTTAAGACACAAAACCCTTGTACTTCCAGACCACATAGACCTGAAGGATTTTGAATAAGGGATTGTGGACCTGTTCTTGTGCCTTTAGAACGATCCAATTCACCTTTTCTCTAGTTCTGAGCTTAAGTCATTACCACATTTATCTCGCATTGGTCCTTGGTTGGTGCTTTGGTTTACCATTCCTTCAACCTCCTTCAACACATGAGAGGTGGCCTTTCTCATGACGTCTGCTCTCAAGGAATTTCTTGTCAGCTGCTTCCATCAGCCGAATTCTCCAACTCTTACTTCCACTGTAGGTCCCCGCAAAGTTCCAGGATGTCCACTCCTAAGGCGCATACTCTGCTGGGTAGCTGGCCCGATCCGTAGGAGCCACTCTTTGGGAGAACGTTACAGAAACCAACATTTACCAAGTATCTTCTCACCAGACACAATGCTGCTAGGTGCTTCACATACACTCCCATTTCCTTCTCACAAGAAGTTTCTTATTGCTCACTTTGCCAAGGAGGAACCTGAAAGACTGAATTACCCAAAGTTACACAGCCAGCTAGAAACCAAAGTTACACAGCCAGGATTTGAATTTGCTTCCTCCAAATACCAAAATCTACACTCTTTTTCCCAAACACAGAAGCTATCTGTAGGGAGACAGCGATATTCTTGGCCATGTTCATTCTTCGTTGACGTCCCTGTGTGTGTTTCCAGGAATCTCCTTTAGGCCTGGCACTGCCCCCTACAACGTTGGCCACAACCTCCTAAAGGCTCATGCTGAGGCCTGGCATCTGTACAATGATGTGTACCGCGCCAGGCAAGGTGGCGTGATTTCCATCACCATCAGCAGTGACTGGGCTGAGCCCAGAGACCCCTCCAACCAGGAGGATGTGGAGGCAGCCAGGAGATACGTTCAGGTCTGTGTTTCCTCTGGGCATTGTTAATACTCTTGCCTGTCTTTCCCTCCTGTCATCAGCTAATGGAAATGGAATTAGATTGCAAAACAAAGATTTAGGTTCAAGGCCCTGTTTTGCTATTACCTGATTTTGTGAGCTTGGAGAAATCACCTAAACATTTTTGTACCTTAGTTTTCTCATCTCTGAAGCAGAGATGACCTATCTATATCATAGGTTTGCTGTGATCAGAGTTCTTTGGGGTTGAGTTTTAAGTCTTGAAAATGATTTGTCCATGTAGTCCTTGCTGCATGCAACACTGGCTTGAAGGTAACAGAAATTCCATCTCTTCAATCTCTGGTTTGATGATAGTAGCTGATAGAGCTGGGCTTCAATGTCACACTTCACCATCTAATTTTATGTATTCGGCCTAAGAATTCCTTGAGTTGGGGGACTTTGGATTCTGTGAAATTCATTAGTGCCCATAATTTTCCAATTCTGTGAGTTTAACATAAGGACATGCACCTTTGGTCATGGAATTTTGCTCCTAGAAAGTAGTCACGGGGTGCCTAGCTGGCTCAGTTGGTTAAGCGTCTGTCTCTTGATTTTGGCTCAGGTCATGATCTCAGGTCATGATCTAGCCCCGTATGGGGTTCTGTGCTCAGCACAGAGTCTGCTTAAGATTCTCCCCCTTTCCTTCTGTCCATGCCACTGCTCACACTCTCTCTAAAATAATCTTAAAAAAAAAAAAAAAAAGAAAGAAGAGTCACTAGTAAGCAGGTGCCAACAAAATAGCCCATCCTTCCTTGTGTGAGCCCCTGAAATGAGGAGAGAAAAGAATGGCCTTTGTCAAGGCACAGCTTTTCCCTGGTTCTTGCTCGTGTCTCTGATGGGGTTAGAAAGCACCCTCTCCCATGTTTCAGCATCAGAAAGGCAAGGGTCTCTCTCTCCACGCTGACCCCCACACTTTTGGCTCTGTGGAGAAGACAGCAGCATTCTAAGGGGACAACATGGGTCTTTGCCAGACTTCTCACAAGAGAACTTGGTAACAGCAATCAAATTGATGAATGCAAATAAGAGCTTAATTTTCCCATTTGTTAGCCAGCTAGGGAAAAAGTCTTGGAACAAAAATAATGCATCTTTCATTTTAGACTCACAGAACTGGTAAAGTAGAGCAGTAATATTCCTGAAATCAAAATCCCAAACCTCAGGAAATGTTGGGCTCTAATCTCATTAGATTGAGCCACCTGTTCAACTGTGATACTGCGGCCCAGGATCATGATACATACCCTAAAATCAGCTTCTACAGAAAGGAACACTTTGTTACCTTGAGTGCGCCAAACCCTCTTTTGCCAGGGTGTGTTCCAAAGCCGCCCCACATTTAAGGCATCAGCTAGCAGGTAAGACCGAAGAAGCCTCTCAGGACGCCAGCATCATAGCATCTAGACCCCATTCAAAAAAATAGGTTGAAAAGTTCCCCAGGGAACTTTTGGCCTTGGGCAGCCAGGAAACCCTTGCAACTCAGCCCTCCCCAGAGCCATTCTGGTTGATCCTTAGGCAGGATGATGGGGAAGGGCCTGCTCTGCAGTAAAAGGAAATCCACGGCCTGGAGGCTTCTAGTCTCTCCTGCTCTTCTGCAGGACCCTGCCAAGGGCAGCCAGGCAGCATCTATTGAATCCTGAGGCAGTGTTCAGTGCAGTTCATCTCCTTTTGAGCTGCAGGGGTTGAGAATCTCCAAAAGGAGATGGTAGCATGTGGGAAGACCTGTGGGCATTTAAGCTGGCACATGCAAACAGCTGCAGAGGAGATGCAAGTTTAAGATGGGGTGGGGAGGGGAGTTGCTGGGTGGAAGGGGTGGGTTCTGAGTCAGTGACTTGTGAGCAGGAAAGCTGCTGTCTCCTAGTGTGACCCCCTGTTAATGCCCACGTTGTCACCCTCACCCCACCTGCAGTTTATGGGAGGCTGGTTTGCACATCCTATTTTCAAGAATGGCGATTACAACGAGGTGATGAAGACACGGATCCGTGATAGGAGCTTGGCCGCAGGCCTCAGCAAGTCTCGGTAGGTCCTGGTGCCCAAGTACTCAGCCAGGGAAAGGTCAGGAGGAAGTCTGGTCTGTGATACCAAACTGAGGCTCCTGGTAGACAGCTCAGTGGTAAGAGTGTGGCCGTTGGGGTCAGAGAGGCCTGTTTTAGGCAAGTTACTGTATCTCTGAGCTTCCCTGCTTGCTGGGGAGACTGAACATGATTGTGTATATGAAGCTCTCAGCCGAGGACAGGGCCTTGCTATGTGTTTGACCAAAGGTAGATGCGGTTATTCTCTGTAAAACAGCCAGGAAATATGCCTCAAGGGCACCCACTTCTTCGTAACCTACCACCTCCAGCAGGGACAAATTCCCCAGCTCATCCTATTTACTATTATCATCACCACCTTATGTTATGAGTGAATGTGGGTAGGAGTGGGTGACTGCCAGGCATGTGCTTTTTGTCATCTGGCCTGTAGGAGGTAATGGTTGCACCAAAGCAGTCCTACTTAGGGCCCACTTCTCTTCCTGTCAAGGAAGTAATAGCAACATCGACACCTAGCATTTATCCATCTTCCAGTGGCACCCTTAGTCCTATTTAAGGAGGAATAAACTGAGGCACAAAGATTATGGCAAGATTACCCAGCTACTGAAGTGACGGAGTCGGGATTTGAAACCAAGCTGACTCCAGGGCTCACATTCTGAGTTTAAGTCATCTGGCTAGGATTAGAGGTGAGGTGTGCGGAAGGGGACAGAGTGACCTGACCCTCCCTTCCATGAGCAGGGGAGGATAAAAGGAATTCCATAGGTATGAATTCCTAACATAGCCGGCGAGTCTTTCCCTTATGTAGCCCAGCTGTGCAGGTTCAATAATCCAATCCCCATCCTTACAACACACTCCTGCCCTGGTTGGGGCCAGTCCTGTGGAGCGGGCTGTGCCTCAAGGTCTGATCTGCCAACTCTGGTCTCCACCAAGCAAGTTCGCACTCTAGTCCACCGACACAACTCTGCTGAGCACCTCCATGTGCCGAGGTCAGGGCCAGGTCCAGTAAACTCCATGTAAGGGGAGCCTTCCAAGTCTGGCTCCTCAAGCTGCCGACACACCAGCTGGAAAGAGAGTAACTTCACCACTAAAGTTCTCTTCCTGAATTTCTCCATACAAAGAAAACTCAGATGAGATGAGGGTGGGCTGAGTAGAACCAGGAGATTTCATGGACAAGGTGGGACTTCAGTTAAGCTGGGCCTTGACAATGAAGTGTGGGAGAGCAGAGGGCATTCCAACTGAGGGGAAGGGCGTGAGAGCTGGCCTGGTGGGAATGAGTGGGGTACCTGCAATTGAGGGTTGGGAGGACTGGCCCAGTGGCTTGGGGGCGGGGGTCCAGGCACAGGGGCTCAGCCTTGATGCCACAAGCCCTAAGGAGCTACTGCTAGCTCCTGGGCAGGAGAGTGAGGGGTGTGAGGGGTTTGGGCTTTAGTTTTCTCCCAGCATTTCAGAAACCCCAGTGGGGGAAGGTTTTGATCCACCAGGTGAATGGCAGCAAAAATCTCAAATCAAGATGAAAGTGTCAGCTGCCCAAGCAGGGTCATCTCTAAGCAAGCCTAAACTAGCAGCCCCAGGGGTTTCCTGTCAGGACACACATGCCATCAGATTTGGCTGCGGAACCTGTAAGTGCTGCCCCCAAGTGCCTGTCAGTCACATTCAGTAGAAAAGCCTCACTTAGACTACCCGTGGAAAATGCTCCACCGGAAGTTTAAGAAAAAAAAAAAGTGTAGTAAAATCATATGAGCATAAAAGTCCAAATCTCAAAAGTTCAATAAATTAAAAAAAAATATTTCCCCTACTATAAGGATGGACTTTGGAGAGAAGAGGCATGCCTAAACAAACCACAACAGAAACAAAGTACCTTAGAAAGGGCAGATTATGGAAATACAAATGATATTAAAACCTGGTGACCATGAAGGATTAGTCTCAAGGGATGTATCTCTGACATGTTCTTGACTTCAAAATCTATCATAGATGGTAAACATCCGAAGTTGCATGTCAATTTTTGAAGTAAATAAAAATGTGGATATGGACATGTGTGTACATAATGTCTGTATGGCCCTGAAGAGGTGGTTTATAAAAGTCACTTGTAGTTTCATTTGGCCAACGCAGGAAGAGAGAGGGTCTTGTCACAAAAAAGGGCAGGGAAGTTTATGGTCTGGTGGGAGAAGCCTCGCCTCGGGTGCTTCAGCGGCAGCTGGAGGGACCTCTCCTTGCTTCTGGACAGCTGCCCACCTCATCACCACCAGGCCTATAGTTAGAGCGCTCTCCCAATCCTGCCCTGGGACATTCTCTTCCCAAAGCATGATGCTCAAGCCCCCCACTTCTCATGGCTTCCTCCATCCAGGCTCCCAGAGTTCACGGAGAATGAGAAGAGGAGGATCAATGGCACCTATGACTTTTTTGGGTTCAATCACTACACCACCATCCTGGCCTACAACCTTGACTATGCCTCTTGGATCTCTTCCTTTGATGCAGACAGGTAAGTCGGCCAACAGGGCACTTGGAACAATCTCTGGAGAAGACAGCAAGGTGCCTCTTTGCCCAGCTCTTACTGCACAGCCTCAGGAAAGCTGCCTCCTGGTGCCATACATCCTGGGATTTGAAGATGAGTCCACTCCTAAGATACCTAATCAAACCTCTGTCAGTCTGCTAGTAATACCAGCTAGCATTTCCAAAGTGCTTCCCATTGAGACAGACATACTTGAAGTTTTTGTCAAACATGTTCAAGACTTCAAGTTATTTTTCTTCCCTTGGTTTTCTTCTTTTGTCAAATTTGTTTCACTTATCAGATGTATTTCAAAGTAACAGTAAGGTTGGTGTCCCCACCCCCCCTTTTGGGGTAAAGGTGAAACTATTATTTCCACTCACGATGGAAACATCAGAAAGCAAGAATAAAAATTCTTGCGGGTGTCATTCCAGAAGTATATGTGTATGTGTAGGGGGTTATATTACCTCTCCTTCTCTTCATAAATATAACATGTAAGTACATATATAAACTATATAAGATATATAGTTTATGTAGTATGTATTTATACATAAAAATATATTACCAAAAACCAAGATTGTGTGTGTGTACACACACACACACACACACACACACACACACACTCTTGTTCCTTTTATAATGAGCATGTTTCCACATCACCTGTGAATCTGTCTAGGTTCTTTTAAAACAAACACCTACCCTCCCCCACCACTGCATTCTGCAAACCCCGGAGTCAGACTCGCTGAGGGGGCTGAGAACACCCCCCTGCTGGTCCCTGTCCGAGCACTCACTGGACTCTTGCTGCCTCATGGTTCCTTGCACTGTCTCCCCATGACCTGTGTTCAGACTTACAAAATGTTCTGGGTCCAGTTTAGCTGAGAAAGATAAATTCAGTTACTGATAAGACTGTATTTTTTTTTTTCTGAAGGATTTGGACATTAAGATCTAAATAATTCGTCCTTATTTGAAACGTATGACTCTGCAGAGAAAGACAAATACAATGTGATCTCACTCATGTGAAATTTAAGAAGGAAAACAGAGAGCATATGGGAAGGAGAGAGGGAAACAAACCATAGGAGACTCTTAATAGAGAACAAACCGAGGATTGGTGGAGGGAGGGAGGTGGGGATGGGCTGCATGAGTGACAGGTATTAAGGAGGGCACTTGTGATGAGCACTGGTGTTTTATGTAAGTGACAAATCACTGAATTCTACTCTGGAAACCAATACTGCACTGTAGGTTAAGCAAAATTAAAAAAAAAAATGTGATTCTGGAGACATTCAAGTTTTTGTGCTTCCCCCGGAGGTGCTTCTTTGGCACAAGCTGTTGCCCTCTCCTGGTCCATCACTGGAGAGAGGCAGGGTCTTGGGCACTTAAAGCAGGTCCCAGCCTATCTGCTGCCCATCCTCACCAAATGGGGGCCCCAACCATGGGTGCCTGTGGCCACACCTGTGGTGTTGACTAGATGTCATTGACGCAGGGAAGCCCATTCTCTCTCCTGACACAGCACTCAAATCCTATTGGAGGCTGTGATCAGGGAATCCCAGAGCCTTTCACAGCCTTTGGACGGTTCAGTCCATGAGTAAAGCCATTCATCTGTAGAGGTGCAAACAGAGCTCAAGTGGCCTGTCACAGCTACACCAGCAATGAGCAGTATGACTAGAACTAATGAAAAGAGAATGTGAGGCAACCTGACTCTTCTGCGGTTAGTTATGACTGTCTAGACTAAACCTAAGGCTTTGCCTACTATAAATCCTGCTTCGTGTTTTGTGCAAAGGGCCTCTTGGGATTTACAAACTGAGACCTAATCTCCTGTGTTTGAACCTGTGTAGGGGAGTTGCCTCCATTACAGATCGCTCCTGGCCTGACTCTGGTTCCTTCTGGCTGAAGGTAACACCTTTTGGCTTCAGGAAGATACTGAACTGGTTAAAGGAGGAGTACAACAACCCCCCAATTTATGTAACAGAGAATGGAGTGTCCCAACGGGGAGAAATGGACCTCAATGACACCCTAAGGATCTACTACCTCCGCAGTTACATCAATGAAGCCCTTAAAGGTAGGAAAGGCCCATCCCTTCCTCCATGTGCACCTTTCACCACTGGAAACACCTGCTAACGTCTCCAGTTAGGGGAATACTGAATCCACGAGACCCCATCATGAGACCCCTTCTCACTCCTCTTGGGTTTAAGCTTTTCTTTGAGGCTGCACTCTTGAGTCTTTTCCTTCCTAGATGTAAGCTCAGCAAGCAAACCCCGTTGCCTGATTAAGAGTGAGACCTGAATTCCTGGCCAGGGTCATCTGCTCTGCCAGATGATCCCTGATGTCTGATGTCCCTGAACAGCAGCGACCTGCTGAAGGCAGGGGCTAGGAGGAGGAGGCGCAGGCTGCGGGGGCTGTCTGTAGGGTCTTTTGTTCCTCAAGCAAAAGTCTGAGACCCTCAGCTCAGCAGAACCCCCTGGGATGGGATTAGGACAAGGGACTGTAAGTAACTCTGAAAGAGAGTGCTGCTGCAGCGGAAAGAAATGGTTAGAAAGTCCTAGCCCATTGAAAATCTTTTCCAAGGGCCACTTATTTTCTTTAGGAAGAAGCATTAACACTCTAAGGCACTCCCCAAGACTGGTATCCCAACATGTGGAGACAGAGGATTGCAGGTGACTCAGCAGGATTAATGTAGCCTATCCATGTTCCTGATTCCCATTCAGGACTGAGCCTTTCTAGGAAAATGCTGATGGCTCTTAAGCAGGGAATGTAGGAGAGCTGTGGGCAGGCGTGGTTCCCGTAGGCCCGGCGAAATGGGGTCTTATAAGACAAAGGAAGCTCATGCTGTGGCCTCTGCATTTGAGCAGCTGTGCAGGATAAGGTGGATCTTCGAGGATACACGGTTTGGAGTGTGATGGACAACTTTGAGTGGACCATAGGCTTTGCAGAGAGGTTTGGTCTGCATTTTGTGAACTACACAGACCCTTCTCTGCCAAGAATCCCAAAAGCATCAGCCAAGTTCTTCGCCTCTATAGCCCGGTGCAATGGCTTCCCTGACCCAGCTGCGGCGCCGCACCCTTGCCTCCAGCCAGAAGGTGAGCCATGGCTCTGGGAGGGACTAAGCCAGAAGGTGAGAGAGGCCTTTTCAGTCTATTTTCTTCTTGTTTATTCCCCTCCTCTCTGCCTTTCTCCTATTTATTTTCATTCATTCATTCAACCAATATTTTCTTTGAATGCTCCAGACATTCTCAGGATGAAACAAAGGAACAGAGGATTAATGTTACATCTAGAAACTAGGCCCTGGTCTGGGAAGAGCAAGTCTAGATTCTTGTCCCAGCCCTACCACTAACTGTGCAACCTGAGGCAAGAAACCAGGCACGTGCCTCCAGGTGGATGTGAGGATCTAATACAATGACTGCAAACACAGTGCTTGGCACGATGTAAGGGGCCTAATACTTGAATGACTGAAAAAGCATTAATTACTACAGAAAAGAGATAATTATCCACTTTACTCCAATTGTTGACAGATTTTTAAAAAAATACAACTACTTCAGAGGTTCAGTAACTCGGGGAAAGGGATGCATCCTGTCACCTCAGCCAGGAGCTCGCTCTGGATACCTGTGTGACTCTATCCCAAGGACCTAGCTTGGGCTTAATATTGGTTAACACTGATCTGGTAAGTACATCTGTATGAGTGCATAAACTGTCCTCTGTCTGCCTCTCCTAGCTGCTGGACCTACCGTCAGACCCCTGCAAGAGGAAGAAGTTCGGTTTCTGGGGCTAACACTAGGAGCGACAGAAGCCCAGACAGCTTTGTACGTACTCTTTTCTCTGGCGATTCTCGGTGTCTCCTGTGTTACATTTCTGTCATACAAGTACTGTAAGCACTCCAAACAAGGGAAAACACCAGCAGGCCAACAGGAATTGAGCACTATTTCTGCATTCTGACCCACAAGTTACCACTTGCTCCAGTTCTGCGAAATAAGCTGAGTTTGCCTGTATACCTTCACTGCCCACAAAACTCCTCAGGACCTTCTACTCTGCCCATGCCAGATTTCTTCACAACGGCCTTCTGCACTGTTAGAGACTACATGAATCTTGAAGGCTCTCAATCTCTAATTAAAATGGAAATACATGCATCTTGTCCCAGTATCAGGAATTTATTAGAGCACTGGAAGACCCTGCACCTGGCTCTTGTGGAAATAGTAAAAACCATGGCAATCCTTTTTATAAGACATCAACTCCACTGTGCACATAGACTGCATTGTCATCTCCTGCCCTCTCTTCAAATTGCCTCTCAGCCTCAGACCTTGTGTTGCTCAGAAAAGACAAATGGTACTGTGAGCTATGTCCTATATCCTATGGCTGCTTCTCCTTGAGAAGGCAGGTTCCACAGAATTTATGCAGTCACACAAGCCCTCTGGGGCTTCTAAGCTTTTTCACCAGACCCATGCTTTCTGCTTATATTACATATTCCCTGAGCAGAGATACCCTAACATTCAAAGAGAGATGACCTCTGAATGATCCTTTATTCCCCTCATAGCCACCTTTTATGTCCTTCCTGCCTTTCCCCTGCCCAGGATGACTTCTAAGGACCCAAGAATAGCCTTCAAGGCCCATGTAATCTGCCCTTGGTTCACTTAGCCTGTTTCTCTTCTTTCCCTCTCAATTTGTGGTAATTCTGAACCTTGCGTAAGCCCTTGACTATACCCTCTTCCTTTGTGTCTTTGCAAATACTATTCTTCTCCCTAGGATGCCCCTTCTTCTGAAAATGCCCTTCAAATCTCAGCTCAAATAATGCACTTTTCCCTCTGCATAGCTTGCCCTGAATTCCCCAAAACATTCCTTCCTCTACTTTGCTTATAAATATCCCCTATTACAACTTATCCATATTATACTGGAAGTGTGTATTTCTCTACTATCAGCCTCTTGAGGATAAAGGACCATGTCTCACTGTCCCTAGCAAGCACATTTTGCAGACAGGGCATAGAAAGCACACCTGCTCCTTTTGTGTGTTCATTCACAAAACACATCCAAAGTAGTGGTGGAAGCACAGAAAGATGATGTGGTCTTCATCAATTCCCCACAATGTGCTAATAATAGACAATCTCAGTACAGAATACTTAAAACTTATTTGGTCTACACATTCTTTATAGATATCAGGGAGAATGTTATTTGTAAATAAAGAGTAGTTTTCAGCTAGATTTAAAACAGTGATCACAGGGTGCCTGGCTGGCTCGGTTGGTGGAGCATGCTACTCTTGACCAGGGGGTCATGAGTTTGAGCCCCACATGTGGTGTGTTTACTTAAAATAAAATTAAATAAGTGATTATGCTTGAAATCTTGCAGGCATTCCTTACCTGAATTTGTTGTATCCGTAGAAAATTCCTATCAAATGTTTCACTGCTGGGGGCCCCAACCGACAATTTATGGTATAGAAACATTTTCCTCCAACAATAGATTGGAAAAGTTTGTCAGATGGGGGTAAGGGTGGTTCTAAAACTGAAAGAACTCAGTATTCTATGCTGTCAATTACCTCTAAATCTCAAAATTCAATGCAACTTTTTTGAGGAGGGGGGCATAGACTGATAGTTTCATATTAAATAAACTTGTAAGAAGAGCAGAACAATCTGGGGAAAAAAAGAACATTGAAACATTATAGAGCTAGTTATAAAAAAAAAATAGCTTGGTAGCAGAGAGAAAAGAAAGATCAACAAAAGACAAGACTGTACTCATAAACAACTACATCTGGGCATAAAGGCCAGGACAAAGGGGGCATGCCAAATTAGGGGGGACAGACGGAGTAGTCCATAAATGGTGGTAGGTCAAGAGGTTAGCTCCTGAGGATGTAAGCCACAGGGAAGTGAGCCAGATCCCATCCCAGGATACTAGATTTAAATGTAAAAAAACTGAAACCATGAAGAGTACTAGGACAGATAGATGAATTTTTTAAAATTAATTTGCAAAGAGAGGTATTTTTAAGACTTAGGGCCCAGAGGCCATAAAGAAAAACACTGATAAATTTGATCACACAAATACTGTTGGCAAAAAATTACTGTCAATATACTCAACAAAAGATAAACGGAGAAAATATAGCATATGCTAGACAAAGGGCTAAATTTATGTACATGGAATTCTTATAAATCAATAAAGATGAAAAACAAAAAAATTGGCAAATACAGGCAGTTCTCAAAATAAATTGAAATGACCGACATTAAAAGACACTCAACTACATTCTTGATCAACACAATGCATATAAAATGCATACAATTTTTCATCTACCACTGACAAAGATGAAAAATATAACAGTGTTTGTTGGTAAGAATGTGGGGAAATCAGCATTCTCAAACACTGTTGGTGGGAGGGTAAATTCATAGAGCCTTTAGAGGTGGCACTCTGGCAGCTTCATTTATAATCCAAACTATAAACACTCCATGACTCAGTTATACAAACATATCCTACTGGTGTATCTTCCCAGCTAAGAAGATACTGCCCCAAAGATGTTCAGTATAGCAGTATCTCTAACAGAAGAACAAAAACAAGCCGGGGGGGGGGGGGAGGGAAACCTATAATAACAGATGTCACCAGAGAATGGGTAAGTTGGGGTACATTTATCAAGTAAAATGTTACATAGACATTAATAAGAATGAGGTAGCTATGTGTTGACAGGGAACAATCTTCGAGACTGTGTAAGTAAAAAACTAGATGCAGAGTAGTATATATATGATCGTATTTAAAAAATATCACAGGGTGCCTGGGTGGCTCAGTCGGTTAAGCAACTGCTTTCAGCTCAGGTCATGATCCTGGGGTCCAGGGATCGAGTCCCACATCGGGCTCCCTGCTCAGCGGGGAGTCAGCTTCTCCCTCTGACCCTCTTCCCTCTCGTGCTCTCATTCTCTCTTTCTCAAATAAATAAAATCTTTTAAAAAATAAATTAAATAAATAAAAAATATCACATATTGGCTTATACATGCATAACATTTTTCTGAAGATTACAAAAGGAACTGTTATTAGAGGTTACCTCTGGGGACTAGAACTGGCCTAAGATGCAAGGAAAGAGACTTTTCATTTTACAGCCTTCTATATTGTTTTGAATTTTTTTTACCAAGCACACTTTTTAAATTATAAAGCTGAGGAGGGAATCCTCCTACTCAAAGATTGTGGACCATTCTTTTACATCTGTTTCTCTGATATTTAATTTTTTTCAAGCAAAGAGACTTGAGGTACTCCAAGTTTCTGCAAGCATATTTCTAGTAGTTATTAGCAGGGTCACACCCATTTGAAAGGTTTTGGGTTTTTTTAAAATCACATATTGCTGTATTTTTTAAGATTACAATCCTTGACTTAAATGGGATGCTTGGTGGAAGTTTTTCTTTTCCAAACTCACTTTTTAAATTATGCAAGTAATATGATCATTGCAGAAAATCGGGAAAACCTATTAGGGTGCAAAAAGAATTAAAAGAACATATAACCATCTTACCCATTGTTAATGTTTGGTTGTTTTCTTTACACTATGTTAATACAGGTACTATTTATATACAAAATGTGTTTACAAAGCTGAGATCATACTATACCCACAAATCTGTATTCTGCTCCCCCCCAATACATAACAGGTAGTCAATGAATGTATGTTAAAATGAATTGATAAATTAGTACTGTACCATTTCTCCTCATCACAAGTTAATTATTTTGCAGAAGGCATTTGGTTGGTGTAAGACTTAACGAGTATGTTTGTACCTAAACTTTGTCTACACTTATGATCACTCCTTAGAAAAAATGATCAAGGAGTTTGAAACATTTAAGGTTGCTGATGTTTTCCGGAAAGAGTATACCAGTTTTCACTCTTACCAACATCATAGCCCGGCTGTTTCCTTGCCTTGTTGTCCTTTAGCATTTTTAAAAATCGTTATTTCATAGGTGAAAACAAAGTTTGCTCTGAGAAAATTTCTTCCTCCTGTTACAAAATTAAGTCTGTAAGTTCACTCAAAAGCGCTATCTTCCAATCTAAAAATGGAAGGTTAAAAGAGGAACTGTCAGGCTTACTCTCTTTTTCAAACATGATGAGTTAGTGGTCTCCACTACCAAAAACAAAGGGATGAAGTATTGTGTAAGTCAGCTTAACAATCTCTTTAAATTCTTAAGAATAACCAAATGAGCAAAAGGCGTATCTTTATTCCATACTTCCTGTCCTACCTACAGGTACCTTAGGTCTCTGAAAGGTGATTGTCCAGAGCAAAACTTCATGATAAAGGCGAGAGAGAACTAGCTGTAACTCAGCAGCTGTTTTGCATCTGAGGAGAACAAAGACCATACATAACATTACGCAAAGTGATGCCTCACTGACTTAGGACAGACAGTAACATAGCATCCATGTGTGTCAGAAAACGTCTTCCTCCTATATCAAGTAGGGTAGTCACAGCTACTTTCCTGAGATAGCTTCAGGGCAGTAATGGGGGGAAAAAAATTAAACACATGACCTCAACAGAGCCCTGTGCAACAAAAAGATGCTAAGGTAACAAAACTTAAAACAAAACTAAGATCATTTCGATTTTTGGAAAAGATTTTTTATTCAGTATTTAAAAACTACAAGATTTTGCTTGCAGCTGATGAGCAAAAAGAGAAAAGTTAAACATAAATTATCATCTGATTGGCTAGTTAAAAATGCTCTGATTCCGAGTCAAATTACTCAGTGACATACCAGTTACTTTGTGTGGACTTAGAGTTCTGGAGCAAAATAGCTCTAAACAAAACGTGTCATCTGAGACCATGGGGCTAACGGGTATATGAGATACTGAGTAAGAAAGCTGATAAAGGGGGGCTGTGGCAGACCTTTTGATTCTTTTAGGCTTCTAGCAGTTGGTTACCATATGCAAGGACCTAGCGGCCAGTTACTTCATCTCTTGAGTTGTCCGAGGAGTTAAACAACTTTAACCCACTAAACAAGAATA